GGGGCGGGGCAATGTGTTAACAAAAAGTTGACGCTTTTTTTTCGGGCCATGCTCTTTGTTTTTTTTTTCTTTCTGTTTTCATTTGATGGCGCTAATAGCGCTAAACGAATCAATTCCGATGCCGAAAGCAGTAAAAAGTTGCCGCAAAACTTACAAATCCGTAACTGAGACGCACACACAAATGAGAAATAAAAAATAAAACACACACATTCGGATATTATCGGACGCACCTGGCCCGAAATTGATTATGTAAATAGTAAATAAATAGGAATGAAAATGCTAATGATGCTGCTGGATTGCCAAAAAACTAAAAATGCACGCACATGGGCGTTGTCTGCGACTGTCTCTTTTGAGGCCACGCCCAGTTTGAATTTTTAAAAACCCCTATAAAAAAAAAACTCTTAAAAAAACAGGCGAGGCTTCGGCTTGGATTCGCTGCATTCGGGTCATGTGGAAAGCGATTCCCAACAGCAGGAACACCAGCTGCTCCATCATTACTACAATCAGAGTGATCCGGTGAAGGATCAGGGTTTGGGTTTGCCTTTAACCCACCACCCTCAGCAGGATCATCATCATCAGCAGCCCCAAAGTCACCACCTCACTGCTGCCGGTTTAATGCAAGCAGTGGCTGCGGAGATCCAGTTGAACGGGGATCAAGAGCAACTGGCTCACCCACATCCCACACCCTCCCAAAATAGTCCCTATCCAGTATATAGCTATTATCGCAGCGAAGGCGAAAAGGAGAATCATGGTACTACTGATCTGCCCTGGAGGTAAGTCTCCACCTGAAAAACAAGGAGTCTAAGTTCCAGAAAATCCTGTTTTCTGGCTTTAAAATCAAGATAGCTCATAAAATATTTGCTCTACTTGCTTTTATTTTAATGAGATAATAAAGCTTACCAAAGTAGTATCCATTCATCAATAAAACATGAGCTTTCGTTTACAAATTTTTAAATTAAATTTGGCATAAACAAGTTTTTGACCAAAGTTAGTTAAGTGATTATCACAAAAGCAACTCAAATGGGATATTTTTGTTAGCACTAGACAAGTGGGTACCTAAAAGAGGTTATAAAAACTTTTTCAAGCTCCTTTTAATCTAAATTAGGGTTCTTCAAATAAATACCTTTTTAATATTTAGAAAGTTTTTTGGATTTTATTAGTTTTGATAAGTAAAATATGTCCCTGATATTCCCTATTTTACACTTAAACCCATTTTTTACAATATTTCATAACTCTACATTTATAGAAAAATATTCTTTTTCTGTCGAAATGGCTTTCTGTTTTAAGTGCAGCGCTTATTCAGTTCGTGGAAATGCGCGAAAAAGCGCGGCACGTTGCCTCGTTTGGGGTTATGAAACCCAAATCCAAACTCAAACCCAAGACCAAGACCAAACCCAATCCCAAAGGCACAGGCAAACCCACATGGATCGCTGGCGAGTTCTTTGCTTCGGTTTCGTTTTATGGAGCCGAGCTGGAACCGTGATGAAACCAAACAGTAACCGTAGTTCGGCAATTCGGCCGGGGGCCTGGAAAAGGTCGCGCGTCTCGGCACTTGGCTTAGAAACACAATTAAAAGCCGAGAGACGGCGATATGGGCAGCACTTTGGCTATCTAATAAATGTGTGCCTGTGTTCGCTTCCCCATATCCGCTACGTGATTTACACGGCCTGACCCTAAAAAGCGGAATAAACGGTCACATATCGCATTACGAAAAAATAAAAATAAAGTAAGGTAGAGAAAAAATGTTATAACGCGGGCAATCCGAGTGTCATTTTTAATAGCGAAAATGTTCTGCAGAACATAAAAACAAAAAACGTATATTTTTTTTGTACCCATGTCGATGTCCGTTTTGTTGTTTCTGTTTTTTTTCTTTCTTTTTATTTGTAATTTTGCTGAGGACAGCGAACAGAAAAGTCCGAGAAGCCAGAAAACAACTTCGGGTGAAAAACCGGGACACCGGGCACGAGGGAGACAAGTGCCACAAAATGGGGCAAGCGATCGCAATCGCAGCGTTGTCAACTTGAGCAATGCCAAAAAAACAGAAAAAAAAATAAAACCTCGAAATGATACAGAGGTAAAAACAAGAGCAAAAGAACCGAATGAAATCGCTTGCAACAGCTGCTAACGGAAGAACGGACTCACACACGCGCCCGGAATTTGTATCTGTGTGAGCCAAGGTGTGGCGCAATTTCTGTAACGCTTGGAATTTGCATATATGCAATCAATATCTATGCACAAATTAAGACAAATTGTCGAAAAGCTTGCTGAAAATTGGCCATATCTGATGGATTCGTATAAACTCTATTACCAAGATTGCAAATTGGGTCTAAAAATATTCTAAATTCTAGAAACTTAGGATCTTATATGTATAAAATGGCTTTTAAGACAATACGAAAATAAGACAATAATAATACAAGAACAGGAGTCAAGAATGGAATAATCAAAACAAAGCAGAATAATCAATCAACGAAGAACCAGTCCCAGAAGCAAAATCAAGTTTTGCATAAGAAAATCAGTTCAGTTCTGGAATTCCAAATCTGGATTCCTTTCTCTGTGAATGAAATATCCAGAATATTATAATATTTAAAAAAATTAGATTTTTGGAAACATAAAATAAGAGGTTCCTTGAATGATTAAATATTTGAGTATTTTACTAAATTACACTGTGCAGCATTTTTAGTGCTTTTTAAATTTACCTCGATGGATGCTATATTTTTGGATTCGTTACGAATTCCCAAGTTAAACTGCGTTTTCCAAAAAGTGCCCCGACGCAAGGATTCTTAGCAAAAGGACCTCAAAGTTTGAAAAATGCTGAAATTTCCCAATTTTGCGGAGTTCTCAGAGGCAAATGGATGCATGATTTGATTCGATGTTAAAGTTTTTTAAAAGATACACTCTTTATCTTTCAAACCCCATACTTAGAATAATTTTAGGATTTTTTTAAGGCAGAAATAAATTCCAGAAAACATAGTCAAAAAACTTAAAAACATACAGCTGCGGTCAAAATAGTAGTAGTGTTGCCGCCTGTTTATTTAAAAGTTTGTTGTTGTAATTGGTCTTTTCCCGGTAATATTGTATTGATCATAATTTTACTATTAGACTAATTGGATAAAAAAAGTGACAACATCAAACCCTTAAAAACACAGGGCGGCAATACTACTACTATTTTGACCGCAGCTGTATGCATTTATGTTTTTTGACTATGTTTTCTAAAATTTGTTTCTCCTTTAAAAAAAAACCTAAAATTATTCTAAGTATGGGGTTTGAAAGATAAAGAGTGTATCTTTTAAAAAACATTAACATCGAGTTAAACCATGCATCCATTTGCCTCTCAGAGCTCCGCAAAGTTTGCCAATTTCACCATTTTTCGAAATTTGAGGTCCTTTTGCTAAGAATCCTTGCGTCGGGGAACTTTTTGGAAAACGCAGTTTATATTGGGAATTCGTAACGAATCCAAAAATATAGCATCCATCGAGGTAAATTTTTGATGCTGCATAGTGTTATTAACTCAAACGTTCTGCTAGCCTCTTTTTGCTAAAACTATTAATTTTTTTTTAAATACACAATCTTACAATAATAATGCCGCCATTTTAAACAGAACTCAATATGAATATGTTATGAAATATTGTTTACCCGAAAGATCGTTCAGAACCGTACAGCGAATATCTCTTCACTTTGGTGTACAATTTACCCAAAATATGCTGGTTGCCCTTTTTGCTGGTCAAAGGGCGGGGTTTCCCTCAAAAGAGCTTTAATTGTGTCTGAAAAGTTGGTGGAAATAATTCCGCAAACGAATCCGGTTTTCCAGCTGCCAGGACTTTTGGTTTAGTTTTGTTTTGTTTGTTTGTTTGACCTTGGTGCCTGCGAGTGCTGTCTACCTCTAGGTCGTCTCTCTGCCCCTCTAACCGCTGGAAAAATGCCAAAAGTTATCCATATTCGATTATCACAGACGGCGACAGGCATCATCGCAGCTAATTTACGACTCTTCCTAGAGTTGTCGGCGATAAAGCGATAAGAGATCGAAAGATCGAATGAATCGAAGGGGCAAGGCATCATATCATGTCTTGGGGGATGCCGCTAATTCCCCGTCTCCATCGTTTCTGCCCGGTTTGTTTTTATATTTGTTGCCAACTCGAGCTGGATGCTGGCCAAAAGCAGTTGTTGTTGATGTTGCTGGTGGTTGTGTTGCTGTTGTCGTTGTGCCAGGTTTTTCTGTCTGGTTTTTTATTTTTGTTTTTTTTTTTATTTCCTTTGCACTTGCTGCAGGCTGAATTCTGGTTAATGGTGGCTGGTTGTTGCCCCGATTGCTCCCATTTGGGCGGGTATCCAGGTTTTGTGAGCAGCGCACAGGTGTCTCCGTCTCCGGTGAATGAAATTAGCCTTGCCGCAGTTGCCTGGCTTGATTGCATGATTGCCCAGGTGATTGGCGAGCGCGGGTTTGATTGATAAGCGGCCTAATGGAGTTATTCCATTTGTGGGGGTGTCGGAATAAGCCGAGCAATTGGGTGCTATTACTAGATGGTGGGAAATACATATATCTCTTACTAGAAAAGGTAATCCGTGAACTTGAGTGATTTACAAATGGTTTTATGTGGTCATATTATATTCCTTTATATTCTTACAGAAATATAAATCAGGTTTTTTTAATCTTAATAGGTCAAACAATTTTTAATTTAAATAAAGAATATAATTATCACTATTTTGTGTAAATACAAGGCTACAGAAAACATGTCTTCTCTTTTTATTCTTCTAATTAAATATTTTTAAATCATAAAAAAGTTATCTATAAAAAAAACTATGTATATTTTAGGCACAAATAACTTTTAAATATGTTCTGAATACAAAATCTTATGTACATACTTTTATAAGACAAGATAATTTCTTGTTTTTGGGGGATATTTTGCATACCCTGATTGCAATAATAATAACACCTATTAAACACCAACTAATGCACTATATGGCGCTTTTTCTCCCTCTCCATCTGAATTTTTGAACAGCAGTGGAAAGCTCAATGGCCAGACCACACCTATCGATGTCTCTGGCCTATCGCAAAATGAGATTCAAGGCTTTCTGCTCGGCTCACACCCCTCGTCGTCGGCGACGGTCAGCACAACCGGCGTTGTCTCCACGACAACGATCTCGCATCACCAGCAGCAGCAGCAACAGCAGCAACACCAGCAGCAGCAGCAACATCCCGGCGATATTGTTAGTGCCGCTGGCGTGGGGAGCGCGGGCTCGATTGCCTCCTCTGCGGTGCAACAGCAGCAGCAGCAGCTAATTAGCATCAAACGAGAGCCCGAAGACTTGCGCAAGGATCCTAAGAATGGCAACATTGCCGGTGCAACAACAGCAAACGGACCGGGCTCGGTCATAACGCAAAAGGTAGGCAAACAAAAAAATAATAATTAAACAGAACAAAAAACATTCTTAACAACCATTCAAAAACTGCTAGAAAAAAAATGAAAACAAATCTGTAAAGAAAGGTTGTTTTTACAATAGCTGAGTCCTCTCAGCTGGAAGCTCTCTTAGGGAAAAATATAATGGACACGCACGCAAATTTCAATTTAGCAGCAAACACTTCTACACGGGGAAAAAGCAATAATATTAAGAACACTCCTTCCCCTAAATAATTTATAAAAATATTAAAAAATGTTTTCTTATAAAATTTAAAAATATGAAATTTAATACGCTGTCGGTATAATTACTATTTGGTTTTGTAATCAATCTGTAAAACAGCATTTAAATACTAAATATTAATATTAGGTTTAAGGAAAGCCATAAAAAAAGTCTTATTTAATATTACAAGCCGTAATAGAAAATCCTTTCAAGTTATATATTACAAACATTTTTAAACATTTTGACTTCTTTTGAAAGACCTAAAAATTGGCCCAATTACAAAAGTTTTTTGTATATCTATTTATATATATTTATGATCTTAATATGGCACATATTTTTTAATAATTAGTACTTCTTATTGCAAAAGATAAACAATATCAAAATTTAGCACTAAACATTAGGGCAAATTTAAAGCATTCTAAGCTCTAATTTCTCTCCGTGTACATAGCATGCAATATGCAATATAAATTTGTATTTGCGGATAAGCTTTGGCTTAGATCGGCAGCCCATGCGATCTCATTGCGAATACCATTGCGAGACCCATTCTAAAATACCCATTCCCACTGCCCATTCACAATCATCATCAGTGGAGTGGACAACCCCAATCAGCGGCGCATCCTGTGTGCTACATCAATTAACGATATGTTGCTGTTGTTGTTGTTGTTGCTGTTGCTAGCTGATGTTGCTGCTGCTGCCGTTGCTGTTGCTACTTCAATTGTGGTTGTTGCTGTCTAACAGACGTGCAATTGGTCTGTCAATTGCTGGTGTGAGTGAGTGTAGCATGAGTATTGGGTATACTCATGAGCAATGAGTATTAGTGGTTGCAGCCAATACGAATCAACGTCGTTTTTGTTGTCGTGTCGCTCGTCGTTCGTTCGGTTCTATTGAAATAGCAATAACAATAACAGCAGCAACAACTACATTAGCAACAACAACATAGCAGCAGCAGCAACAGCAACAGCAACAACAACACTAAGCCTTTGTTGCTGCACGGCCAACTGTTATACACCCATTGAGCTGTTATACGATCGTGTGTGTGCGTACGTGATTTGTATGGTGCTCTCGCTCTCGCAAAGGCTTTAGCTCCATAGCCCCATCTCGCTCTCCCATCGAACCACTTCCTTTGCCCAAGTTCGAGTTGCATGTTGCGAGCCGAAGTTGGAAGCGCCTTCCACTTTATCACACGCAAAGAAAAAAAGGAACAACCATAATTAAATGGGAAATTGCAGTAGCAAACTCTGGGCGACAATCGGCAGCGATAAGTGCGCACTTCCGGCCGTTCGCCTTCCTTTTCCTTCGACCTGACTTCGATTTGGCAGCGATTTGACTCCATGAGAGCAGCAAGTGCAATACAGTCGATCTTCTATAAAGCAAACTAGGTATTGCCAAAAGCTTAAAAAATATATCGAGTCTCGAGAAAATCAGAAATCTTGTTCTTATTTATATAAGGTATCAGTAAAACTTTATTTCTGCTGTTTAAAATTGTTTCTTAATTATTTTGAGATTTATATTGAAATAATATTTTTTATATTAAAACGTTTATATAATCTTTACATGTAAAAAAAAATTAGAATTTACAAAATTCGTATTTTTTGGATCTATAAAAATCGACATATCGGAAAGAAATATTTTGAAAAATATTATCTAGCAATTCCCGTTTTCAAAGTTTGTAAATTGAATAAAGTTTACTTCGACTTGTAAAGTAATTCGGGCAATGTAAGCTCTTCTTATGAATGAGTGCTTAGTTGTTCGAGTTAGGGAGATCGGACTTTATGCAGCAAGTGCAGCTATTTTTTAATATTGCTGCTGCAGCAGCTGCAACGCCCTGTCCGTCCGGCGGCTGGCCCATCCCCTCCTGGCCGCTCAGAATATTGCGACAGGCGCGGATTCCAACCATTTTGAACTGATATGAGATATACAGGGGCGAGTGTGTGTGCGTGAGTATCTGTGTTCCAACTGGCCGACGCAACGACTGCCGACTGCTGGCGACGTCGCTTACCTGGCTGTCATACCTGGCAGCGATCGGCGGCCTTTAGTCAGTCGTATCACGCTGTCGGAGTAGGATCGTATCGCTTTCGAGTCCGATTCCGTAATAGCCGCTCGCGATCCGTAACTTATCGTAGTATATTGTAACCGAAAACCAATCGATCGGTCGCAGGGGATCTCAAAATAAATACAAAAAGAGAATACAGAAAAAAAAGACAGTGAGTGTGAGTGGGTTACCGATACCGATACCGAATACCGAGTACCTTTTGCCTGGAATGTGGGCAGCAGTAGTGCAATATTCTTTGTGGCATATCAATATCGCAAAATCCACCTGCGAGTCAAATCAAAACCATGAATCAAACAACAACAGCGCACGCGCAGCAACACAACAGCAGCAGCAACAGCAACAACTACACAGCAGCAACAGCAGTTGCAGCAACAACAAACCACAGTGTGTGGGCGCAACGCGTTGCCTTTCAACACCCACGCGCCATACAAGTTCGCTGCCTAAGTCTTTTGTTTGGCGCGCATTTCTTAAGGCCAAGAATCGAATCGAATATTAGAGGGTGGGTGGGCGAGAGTGCGGCTTATGAAATTCATTCAACAGAATCCAGCGAAGCTTAATTGCCGTCTCCGTTTTTATTAAGCATTAATTTGCTTACCAGCTAAAAACAAAATACAAAAAAATAAGCAAATAAATATTAAATTGCCTCAGTCACTGCACAATTTGCATGCACTCTAATTTATTGTGCATTTGTTGCATTGACAGTTAATTATTCTTAATATTTGTCTTATTAATTTACATACACACACACACACAGATACTCACACAGTTGCCATAGTTTAAAGTCTAAGGTTTCGCCAGATTAATTTATGACCGAGAATCGGAAAACATATCAATTTTGTACTCTTGGCAATTTATTTATTGCTCTCCGGGCACCGGAAAGTGTAATCATTAGACGCTGGCATTTAGATCTTGGATTAGCCAAACAACTCTCTCTCTCGGCGCTCTATTTAAACTGGGTGGAGATAAATCTCCACACATCCAATTGCCTCATCGGCTGCCTTTCTAATTGCTCCAAATCTTCGTTTGGCTTATCAGTCGTTTACTGCATTCGGCGGATTTCCCATTTTAAATTGATTCGCCAAACAATGTATGAAATCTCTCTTAACGACTGCCGATTGCTCAATTTATTCAGAGAATTTCCTTAATTTCCTAAAATGAATCATGAGATATCTTAGTGAGTCAACAACTGAAAGTAAATTTAAGAAATTGATTAACTCTCCTATCCGAGATTTTCCAATATCGAAATATAAGTCCATAGCTTCCAAGAACCTGATACGTAATGAAGAGCGGTTAAAACCGGAAAGCATTATTAATAATAATTCAATTAATAATGGAAAGCCTACATGATGTAAGAAGATAATTGTATAGACAATGATCCAACAAACAGATTGACAAATGAGATTTTTCAAAAGAAAAACCATGCTATTTTTCTGATAACTAATTAAGATTCATTATCATTAATTTCGTATATCCATAACTGATAGAGTACTCACTTAACGGAAGTTTTAGCATCAGCCAAACAATTCGAAAACAACCTTGAAGGTTTATTGCTCTTATTAAGAGTTGAATTCAATTTAAGCCCCGACATCTAGTAAGTTTTCAACAAAACTGAGCACTTTTCGAGGGCTGTTAGTCACGGGTTTTCCTTACCGAGAACATCACAACACAATTACAACATCAAGGAACCATTAAAAAATATTTTATGAATGCAAAACAATTTTTTTCTTCTTTTGGTTTTTTGTTTTTGTTGTTCGCATCCATATATGAAGAAGATGTTTTTGTTTTTCTCGGCTTTTCGTTCACTTTATTTCCGAGAATTAACGATATTCATAAAACGCTCGAGCCGAAGAAGAAAAAAGTTTCACTTTTTATCATTCCAAAAGGCATTAAAATAGTTAATTGGCTTTATTTAAATATTTTGTTATTTTTTCCTTTGTCTCGCTACTTGTTGTTGCCTTTGGTTGATTTTGGTGTTTTTTTTATTCCTTCCTCATACATAAATATGTGCCAGAATCGTTTGACGCTGGTCGCTACTTAGCATAATTCTAAAAGCCCAGCCAGCCCCGAACGTCTCCGCTCATAACCGATAGCTCAGTTATACCATATAGCTTATATAGCTGGCCACAACAACAAAGGCTAAAGCTAAAGATTCGGATGCGATTGACACACGCACCACCACCAAAAAGCCAAAAGTTAAAACCGAAAAGCCGAAAAATCGAAAGACCGAAAAGCCAAATAACCAAAAGCAACAAAGTATCTTTGTATCTTTGTCTCCGTGGATCGATCGTCGATCGGATTCTTCAAGGCCTTTTCTGACGTTGCACGTTAAAAGTTTAAAATGCAAATTGATTTCGATGAACAAATTTAATTAGCTCGCAGCTAGAATCTTTTACTGATGCTAAATTATACAAGAGACTCCGACCACAACGGAAAAAAAATGGAATCGGAATCCAAAAAAATCACAGACGCAGACACAAAAACCTCTGTATAAATTTGAAATCATTGAGACGAGGAGTTGAGTTAACCGAAATAATCAAAGTAAAGACCATAAATTATTACAAGGGTTCTGCGCAAGTGTGTGTATATGTGTGGTGGCCAAAAGTGTAACAAAAATTACCCCCAAAAAGTTAAGACCCAAAACGCTGTCAACCGGTTTCGATCAAAGGCCAGACAAATAAATAGTGACGTCTTTTCGGCTTTTCGGCTGGACCTGTGTCTCTCTCTTCGGGGTTTCACTTTCTTTAGACCAAAGGCAATCAGCAGCTCGCTGCTAATTCCGATCTCAGTCCCCCGATGTCTATATATACCATATATATATAGCTTAAGACATGAATTGACCACACTTTGCTCTGTATTACCTCATTTAGCTTCGTGCGTTTGTCTCCAAAAACGTTTGACATTTTCGGGCGGCCAATAAAAAAAAAAACAATGATAATTAACATATGCATATAGCCACATATATATATTTCAATCCGTGTATATATCTGCCGTATATAAATGTTGATTTTTTCGCGCTTTTTTTCTGTATATTTTTTAATTGGTTTCTTTCCACTCGACGACAACAACGGAGTCGACGGCGACTGTTTCATTTCGTTTTCGTATATACCATTTTTTTTATAGCCTTTTATTATAAACTGTACTTGTTGACGTTATTCTCAATAAGCTGCTGGCTGCTGGCGACCGCTGTTGTTGTATGAATCATGGCTGAAAAGAAAAATCAAATCAAATCCACACAATCATGGCCCAAAAAGAACGCACGCACAATTTTGTCACCTCGTTTCTGTGGGGTTTCTGTGCGACCTTCTGTCGGCTGGCCAGAGAAACACAAAAATCCATCAATCACTGGCCTTTTGAGCTATTAGATATTACCTATTACCGCTCAGCTATTAGCCACAATGACAGAATATCTTGTTGTCTCGGTGGATTCCTGAGCTCCATCGATCAGTTGCTCAGCCCCCGGATTCCAAGTCGAGCTTTAGATTTAAGTGTTCCAAGAACAAGAATCGAAAACAAACGTCACTTTCCCGCAGATCTTGCACGTGGATGCACCAGCGGCAAGTGAAGCTGACGCCACTGAATCGGAACCAGGATCAGACTTAGGATCAGGATCGCCGGAAGCAGCCAGACTAGAGATGTATGCAACCACGGGCGGCACACAGATCTACCTACAGGTGAGAACTCTCGAGGGGAGCGAGTGAGCGATCTAGAGCCAACCAACTCAACCCAACCCCACTGCAGACCTCACATCCCAGCACGGCGAGCGGAGCGGGCGGTGGTGCCGGTCCAGCAGGAGCAGCCGGTGGCGGCGGAGGCGCCGGCGGTGTCTCCTCGATGCAGGCCCAGAGTCCCAGTCCGGGTCCCTATATCACGGCCAATGACTATGGCATGTACACGGCCAGTCGGCTGCCACCCGGTCCCCCGCCCACCAGCACCACCACCTTCATTGCGGAGCCCTCCTACTATCGGGAATACTTTGCTCCGGATGGCCAGGGTGGCTATGTGCCGGCCAGCACGAGATCTTTGTACGGCGATGTGGATGTCTCTGTGTCGCAACCCGGCGGAGTGGCCCTCACCTACGAGGGTCGCTTTGCCGGCAGCGTTCCCCCGCCCGCCACCACCACAGTGCTCACCAGTGTGCACCACCACCACCAGCAGCAGCAACAGCAGCAGCAGCAGCAACAACAGCAGCAGCAACAGCACCACCAGCAGCAACATCATCCGCAGGATGGGAAGAGCAATGGGGGAGCCACGCCCCTCTACGCCAAAGCCATCACGGCGGCGGGTCTCACGGTGGATCTGCCGAGTCCGGACTCGGGCATTGGCACGGATGCCATCACACCGCGGGATCAGACGAATATCCAACAGGTATAGACTTCGATAGACTCCAAAGAAACCAAAAGTTCCTTAGCCAATATTACTTAGATTACTTAGAGGTAGTCCATCGCATATAACACCATTACTAGGTATATTAAATATTAAATAGTAGAGTGTTTGCTTAGAGCGTGTCGTGTCCATTAAACCTTTTTATATAATAATCATTATAATATCGAAATAATTGTAATATTTAACTCAAATGATTTCCAATCCCTAAACAGTCCTTCGATTACACGGAGCTGTGTCAGCCGGGCGCGTTGATCGATGCCAATGGCAGCATACCCGTCAGCGTAAACAGCATCCAGCAGAGGACGGTGGTCCATGGCAGCCAGAACAGCCCCACCACCTCCCTGGTGGACACCAGCACCAATGGATCCACGCGATCGCGGCCCTGGCACGACTTTGGCCGTCAGAATGATGCCGACAAAATACAAATACCAAAAATGTAAGTTCTTGAAAGATAACTTAGGATACTAGAACTCTTTAACAGCAGGAGTTCATTTAAAATTTAGGTAAAATCTTTTTCAAAAACAAAATTAAAATGACAAAACTAAAACCAGTCTTACATATTTATTACTCCAAATAAAGTTCAGCTCTTATCAAAATTAAAATTCTAAAACTTGAGTTCTTAAAAAATACTATAAGCTGGATTATTCCTTAGAATATATCTATCAGTACAGTTCCGTACCTTTAAAAGCTAGTAATTAGTATTTAAAAATAATATTTTATTTCAAACCTTTCTCTAACAAATTTATTACCCAACTTCACCCCATTTCTAACCCCATAACTACTTTACTTGATAATTCCCCCCAATAGCTTCACAAACGTGGGCTTCCGATATAACCTGGAGAGCCCCATCAGCTCATCGCAGAGGCGCGAGGACGATCGCATCACCTACATCAACAAGGGTCAGTTCTACGGAATAACGCTGGAGTATGTGCACGATGCGGAAAAGCCCATCAAGAACACCACCGTCAAGGTATGGATCCAAAATCTATATATTTCCATAGCGGATAAGGTTTAGAATGGGGGTAGGGGGGCTTTGTCAATCAAGTTCGTGCTGCTTGTTTTCCATTCTTCGGTGTGTTTTGTTTATGCCATCAACACCACATGAACACATGAGCATTGAGAGTAGGAAAATGCGAGGCCCGAGGCCAACCCTTCGTTACCAGGGCGATTTGTCAGGGAATCTGTGTCGGCTTCTTAGGCGGATCCTGTACATAGAGTCCTACCCCGAGGTGCGATCGCCACCCCTTTGCTCAATTACACCCATCCCATATCCTGGCTCATGATAAATGATACTGAGAAAGCGAGTGATGAGAATTTGAATATTCCGTTCAATGCAAATTGCCGCCAGTCGTTCGGTCTTTCACGACGAATGTTTGTTCAGGACGATCGCTCAAGGAGTAGGAGCTATAGAGCTCTAGGGCAGGACAATACCCGTCAACATCATCAATCAGATAAGCTTAAATGACGTCTGAAGATGCAAATGCAAATTGAAAACTGAACCGTTGAGAGCCCAAGAATGACATCAAAGTTACTGTTGAAAGTGGTAAATGGGTTGAGGAAATGCCCTAGAGGAAACGGGAAGCGGAACTGTGTGCTAAGTAAACAACAATTGAAATTGAAGGAATACGCAGACGAATAGGAATCCGAATCCGATTCCTTGTCATTTGCATACGCAAAGAGAGCGATAAGAAAAAAAAAGAATAAAGAATGAAACTTGCAACAGAAACTTGAAGAAACGAAGCCAAACGAAATGTAGAGATCTTCAGATACGAGAGCTTAACCTTCCCCTAACACTTCTCAAGTTCTCGATCAGGCCGCTTGGGCTCTCAGATTACCATAAAAGTGCCATATTTTGCAAGGCTCGACAAAAAAGTGTCAAAATTAATTTACGAGTTTATTTGTTTAGAGCTACGCGCCCTTTTTTCCAGATCCGAAATGAAAAAGAAAACTTCCCAACACTTTTTACGACATTTGCATAACGCAATCTAACGGGAAAAAATTTAGATCCAAGAAAAATGAGACCCGAAATCGGGAGAAAAAACTGAGTATAATTTACGAGCTGATTAGCCCATGAATATGTAAAGACTTCCGCAGTCCCGAAGAAAACACACAAAAATATTTATGCTGTAATCAGTTTACCCCCTGCCTCAAGAAAAAGATGATCCTGGCAGGGGTTGCTTGCAATTTCGAAACTGTTTCCTTTTTTGGGAACTCTTTCGCTATCTCTGCGCTTCCTTAATTATTCAAAATGTAAAAAAATAGACACATAAATGATAGAGAAAAAATGCAAATGCTGGGAAAACAATGGGCCTGCGATGAGCAGAAGATACAAAATGTGTTGGACATTTTTCTGCTAAATCGAATTCGTCCCTTTGTCCTCGCAGGGCCTAATCCTTTTGACTTTTAAGGCGTAGGGTGCGATCTGCCGAGTTGTGAGTTGAGTGTCACAACGCATATATGTCAGAGCAATGAACCCTTGGTGAATCCTTGGGATAGTATAAACGGATTAGGAAAATGTCTGGAGGAACATGGCATTTCCTCGCAGATAAAGATCAACTCCCAGCCAGATCGCTTTCCTGATCGAGGAAAATGAATTGGCCCTAATTTTATCAAGGCTGTTTATTTTTCGGATTTTCTATTTCAATTACAAAGATACCATCTAAATTTAGTTTTATGTCTACAAAAATTAAGGGTTAAATTCAAGAATTAGCATATTCAATTGGGAAACCTAAACTACTGGGAATCAAAACTCCTCTAAAGAACTACCTTTCCAATTCAACCATTTCCTTAACTCCACTTTAGTGCTTCCTTTTAAGAGAATACCATAATTGAGATGAGTTAATTTTTAGTGCCCTCTTAACTTAGCCTCGCACTTAATTTAATAACCATATTTGCTTTCTGTTCTGTTCTGCTCTTTTCTATTCGACCGACGCAGAGTGTGATCATGCTAATGTTCCGCGAGGAGAAGAGCCCCGAAGATGAGATCAAGGCCTGGCAATTCTGGCACAGTCGTCAGCATTCCGTGAAGCAGAGAATCTTGGATGCAGGTGCGTAAAACCAACTTCGACTTACGAGTATGCCCAATCCCAATACCGAATACCCCTACCCCTATCCCAAATCGAAAGAGAAGTCCAGCAGCGTCGGATGCTCGACTGTCCATTTGTATTGTCTAGTATTTCTAGCAGTAAATTGTTGCTTTTTATTGAAAGGCCCGCAACGTTCCAGGAGAGTTATGACATTGATAAACGCGCATCGCGCGGCGGCAGCAAACTGCGCTCCGTTTGTTTGATTGCAGATAATCTCGGTGGCTGTTTGCGACTTGCAACATGGGGCAATGCTGCATCTGCCACTGCTGCCTGGCCCATCAAACATAACTCATTAGGCACTTGTCACTGGATGGCAACGCAGAAATTTCCTTAATTGTTAATACAAACATATTTTCCAATGTCCAAGCTCTCGCCTCTTTCAGCCTCTTTCAACTCCTTCCATTTTTCGCATTTCTTTTGCGTCTTTTTAACCGCGATTCCCCAACCCATCCATACCATACCATACGAAACCAAACCAACCCCCTCTGATTATCTCCTCCGACTGCTCTTCTTCGCCAGATACAAAGAACTCGGTTGGCCTCGTTGGCTGCATCGAGGAAGTGTCGCACAATGCCATCGCCGTCTACTGGAATCCGCTGGAGAGCTCCGCCAAGGTAAGTTCTGCTCATTCTAGATCTCATTTCTATGGCAATCGTAGTTATGGAATTTTCAAGTACCCTGTATTGAAAGGGCATGGTCTTTTTATACAAAGTTTATACAAAGTTTTTATACAAAGTTTTATACAAAAAAAACTTTTTATAGGCATTTTTACTATATCTTTTAGGATGTACCTTTCTTTTTTGGTATAGCAGGTCATAATAGTGAGTTAATTGTGTATACCAATTGTCAAATCAATCGGTTGAGTTGTATAGGAAAAATCGATCACACATTTAGAGTGATTTGTCTTATATTACGAAAATACGTGAACCAATTTTATAGTATTTTTTAAGCATCGACCCATTACAGGGTGTCACCAGGTCATAATTACCAACCGACTTTTGTGTGCTTTTATGTGTTTTTCCCTCTCAACCATTTTGTTTACTTCGAGCGCCGCCTCAATTAAAAATGAGAAAAAGCGAAAAAAAATTAAGCGCGACACTTTTATGAAGCAGACGGAGATGGAAGATATGCCCGCAAAGTCCTCTCTATATCTTTCTATATGTACATATGTATGCACTGTATGCTTGTGTGTGAGCGAAGAATTAATTTCTGATTTATTTTCAATTGCGAGTAAAACGCAAATTATTCAACCAGCGTCGCCATTGCCGCAGCTCCAACTGTGGCCATCCCTTTCTGTCGCCCGCTGTCCGGCATTTTCCCTCTCACTTCTCCCCTCGCAGCGAATGTGTTTTTGTTTTTTTCTTCAAAAGAATAATTTATGCATTTATTTATTTATGACACTTAGTTTTAATCACTTACTCGCAAATGCTTGGAACTAAGTCTGCGACTCAGACTGAGTTGGCTGGATTTTGCTTTTGCTTTTGCTGCTGCTGTCGCCTTTGCTTTTGCTACTAACCACAGATCGAGCGAGCTCCCACCGCGTTTTAATTTAGCAATTATCAAGCATTTTAATCGCTGGAAAATATTTGCAATTCTATTGCAACAAGCGCCAGCAGTAAGACCAGTAAGCTAGACAGCCCTCATATTACGTATACGCCATGACTTCTACAGAGGCTTTATCCTTTGCGAAGCTCCGCCCACCAGCAGAGAGAGAAAAACATGGTCTCTTCTTGATTTTTGTTGAATTTGTATGCGTTCATAATTAGAAAAATATAAGATGGGATTGTTTTGATATTATTTTGAAAGATTTAGTCACAAAGGTTCATAAAGTAGTGAAATCCAAAATATGTAATATTAATATTGTTGAGTTACAAAAATCTTATTAATCCTTTATTGATCTGAAACTGTATAACAATTAAATATATTATTTCTCGTGCTGATGAAAGATGAAAATTCTTATAGCTAAAAATATAACCACTTAAAATTGCACGAAATACATTTGTAAAATATATAAAGCTTTTAAATTTCGACTCCCGATGTAAAAATATTATTTTCCATAAAAACAAACCATTAAATAGCGAAAACTTTTTCTTCAAGTGTCCGTTTAACCCGAGCTCAAATGGCTTAGGAAAAAATGTGAAAAATATTGTGAAAAACAAATGCCAAAACCGAATTGATTTTCATTCAAGTTCAGTGACTTCTGTGTGTGCAGGCTGCCAAATTGGTCAGCAGTTATTAACTGGCTGGCCATAAGTGCATTTCCCCCACCCCGCCCACTCGCATTTGATAGAGCTTTTTATTTACAAATTGTTTACGCGCTGAGATGTTAATCCCAGCGACATCGCATCGTCTTCGAGGAGAGAGAGTCGAGTTGAGTCGCCTTTTCTTGGACCCGACTTGGCTCGCATAATGTCGATTTCGTTTTATGCCGTTAGCTGCATCTGTATCTCCATCTTTTGCCGTGTGTGTATTTGTGGTTGGAGTATCTGTGAGATACTGCCTTTCCCAGCGGCAAAACTTTCGTACGCACCGACACGCAGGTGCTTCGCCCCTCGCTTTTCGCTTATATGGTACGCGCCCGCTAATTATTCACATTAAATACTGCTCGTCCACATCTCTGGTCTCTGGATGGTGGATGTGTGGATGTTGGATGTATGGATGTTGCGGCTGTGACTGCTGCACTTTTACCATTAAGATTGTTTCCTTTGGTATTTTTGCGTTGATGGATTTTCTTTTTATTTTTTTCATTTTTTTTTTTGTACTGTCCAACGACTGTCTGGATGGCGAACTGAACTCAAACTCCGACTTTGACTCAAACTCGGACTTGGCATGCTTAAAATGCCCCGGCACACAGATACTGCTACAGCTACAGATACAGATACAAATGCACACACCTTGCACTGAATCGAAGTCGAACTAAAAATGAATTGGATGCGATACAAAGTCGCGGCTCTACTTGGCTCGTTACTTGGCTTTAAGGCCCCGCGATTCCGCCAATTCCTCCGCTTCCAGGCCATCTTATGGTCCATCGTCGAGTTGGTCGCGATGGTCCTCTGTGTATTGCCTTGTTATTGTCTCTCCTTCGGCTTTTCAGTTTTTGTCTTCATTTCTGCTCTTTCCGAGTGCGTTGGAATGTTTTAAACTGTCGTGGGCATAAAGAGGACATCGACTTAATAGAGAGAAAACAATTGCCTTCTAATAGCAGACGCATTTCAGTTTTTGTCATCCGATATAATTTCTTTTTATGTTCATAATTGTTTACATTTGTATATTTTATGGCATTTCTCACATACATGCGCTCTGTTTCTCTTTTCATTTCTTTTTTCTTCATTTATTTTCATTTCATGTATTTTTTATTTTTTCTTTCAAAACAGATCAACATTGCGGTTCAGTGTTTGAGCACGGATTTCAGCAGTCAAAAGGGAGTTAAGGTGAGTTTATCATTTGCTAAATTATATTTTTATTTATATTTTTGGATTTAAGATTGCTTTTAAGTTTACCAAATATTATTCTCAATTCATTTGGGCAACAAAACGATTCAAGTAAACGTTTTGCATTATTATTTTAATATTTTCTACGCAAATATTAATCATAATTCAAACACAAGGTTTTTTCAAAATATTTTATTTTTCCAAATTTTGTTAGTACATTTCTTCTCGAGTAACCCACTTACGTTTCTCAGAGAAAAATAATTGTGCCCACCTTTTCTATAAATGAAATTCAACTCAGCCACATTGCCTTTGATGGGTTAAGTAATAACCAATTTAATGCCAACTTGTTAATGGCGAATCAATGCGGCCAGAGAAGCGATCCAGATCGAGGAAGAGATCCCGGGGAAGAGCTCTTTCCCCATTTCGAAGCGATCAGCATTCAGAGCAGTCGTCTTGACAACGGTCAGACTGATGCTACGTAGGCAGGGGATTTCTTCTGCTTCTTCCTCTGCCACCTGCCACTTTCCCCTTGCCTCCTCACCTGGGCCCCTTCTCCACCTCCAATCCAAAGCGGATTGCACATCCTCCTGGCCAGAGTTGTAATGCGTACATTAAGTCTGATATTTCATTGACAGAAACACAGGCAGAACTCGTTGCTTTTCATTAAAAGAGAGCGCTGCAGGAACATTGGAGCTTGCACAGCGAAAAAATGTCACTAATTAAATTCTAGATTTTAAAAGAAAACTTTTGAAATAAGTTTTATTAAATTCGTTGATTTCTAAACCCTTTCATAAGCTTGATCCGTTAGCTCATCGGAAACTGGAAAATTAATTATATTTATTTATAAAATATTTAAGTTACAAATAAAGGGATGTAAGATGTAGGCATTATGCATTTTTCTCCGTGTGGCACCGAGTGTGGGCAATAGGCAAATCAAATTATGCACTTGCCACGACATGTTGCACACACATTCGCCCAACGGATGTTGGCAGTTTAACATCACTCCGGCCACGCCCCATCGGTCCCAGCCACGCCCTCCCAGCCCAAATGACAACGGCTAATTGCAGCTGTTGCAAGTTGCTGTTGCGATTGCGATTGCTGTCCGGCGGCAACGGCAGCCGCGACTCTCAACTGCCCCCGGGGCAATTTGAATGATACGGGGCATTGTGATATTAATACGGATTCTGTTTATTCCAGGGCCTGCCGCTGCACGTACAAATCGACACATTCGAGGACCCCAGAGATGCGACGGTCTTCCACCGCGGCTACTGTCAGATAAAGGTCTTCTGCGATAAGGTAAGTGATTTTATTTTCCCCCGGTCCGAGAGGTTCGCGAATCGCGCGATCCCCAAGCTAAGTTCCCCTATGCTGTGGCAATTACGCACACAGGAGCAACAGGGCTCCCTCTGCTGCCACGTGCAACAGGTTGATGAGCTAACTAAAAGCGGCTACGTGCAGCTTCGTTTGTATTCTACACGGGCAGAAAAGGTTCAAGAACATTAACTTAATAATAGGTGATCAGAACTAAAGGATTTTAGAGGCGACATATTTTTATTTAAAAGGGGAAATTTAACTTATTTTTGTAAACATTTAATTTACTTGTATTCAAAAATGCAATTTCAAAAAAATATATATTTTTGAAAATTTAAACATTTTTAAAATGATATAGTACTGTAAAATCCCTTGAAACCAAGAAAAAACATTTCAAGAGTTTTGAAATATTTTTACAATTTTTATAATCTTTAAAAATTAAGTTTTTTTAAACAAAAGAAAAGGCGTTTCTAAATTGAATATTTTGAAGACCAAAATAATATCCAGAATTTGGATCAAATCAGTCTGAGCCTTTTTAAAATGTTAAATTACAAGAAAGAATTTGTTTTACCGCTTATTTAGTTTTCCAGTGCAGTGTGTATCTGTGTGCCTGCCACTTGTTGCTGCAGCTTCTCCTTCGGATGTGGCTGCAACTTTTATCGAATTGGGGGCACCGGCAGTGCCTGTCCGTCAGTCAGTTTGGCCTTTAGTGGAAAGCGTAACGCGTCCAAAAGTAAATGGCCAACAAGCACATATACACACATCCTTTCCATGCCCTTGTTTCGTATCTGTACCTTCGCCTTTATGCGAACCCTTCACTTTTTCGCTTGATGGGGTTTATTAATAAATCATTTCGTGGATTTCCAATTTAATTTTCTCATATCATTACACATCCTCGTCCCTGGCCTCCTGCTCTTCCTCGTCCCTCCGTTTCGGACATGGCTTTTATTGTACGGAAAGGCCCTTACTTTGTACACGATCCCCGATCCACCGATCCAGCGATCCGTACTCATGGCCATATCGCTATCGCGTCGGGCTTATATTTCACATTTGGGGCCGGCCCTTTTTGCAGGCCAGCGTGTGTTTATCGGTAAATGTATCAATTAAATTTCGCGTACCACGTTATTTTGTTACTCCGTCTCCCTTTTTATTTTCTCTGTATGTTTTGGGATTTTGGCAAAAATTTTGATTTCACTGCAATTGCAGTTTCAGTTGCAGTTCCGTCGTTTGGCACCTCTGGGCCGCAGTCGCCAATTATGAATCTTTAAGTTTGCCCCGGGGGCAGGGCCCAAAAAGAAACAAAATTACGAGAAATTCTGCCGCATGTTGTTCAATGTGGAAAGGAACCTTGGGTAGGCTTTTGTCTTTTTGCGGGATAACTGTCATTTTGTGTTTTTTTTTTTTGCATTTCTGTGGAGGGATATGTACTTTCCCCCAGTAAAGAGAAAATTAGTGGGAAAATAACTTAGGTAACTTTGGTATTTTTATGGCTTGTTTAATGATTAGTTAAGTTTGGTGTTATATACCTATATTTAAAGTTACTTTAAAAATAATATTGACTTTTCTTTAACCAATTCATTAGTCATTTTCTCTATAAAATAAATATAGAATTTAAAGGCCTTAAAATGCTTAATTTATTCATATTTTCTGCGAATATTTCTCCATCTACAGTTCATTAATTTAAGTGCACAAGTTCGTTAAACTAAATTTTCTTCTTTTCCCACTTAATTGAGTATTTGAGCATTTCTCCACGCACATCAATGTTGAATCATTATAGAATTTAGCTAACGTTAATGCTAATGGTAATGTCCCCCGATCCCGCCTCCTTGAAAAGTGGCAGCCCACTTGGTCGTCGGGTGTCCTCCGTCTTCGTCATACTTTGAAGTCGATTAACAGCCTCCAAAAAGGAGGTAAAAACGAGGAGAGGAGTTGGGGAATGAAAGACTGTGGCGAGCATTGACCGCATTGGGCGATTCGAGACGCCGTCGCCTTAGCTTGTTGCACGTTTGCAGGTTTGGCGATATTTTTGCCGAGATAAAATAAAAGTAATAAAATACAGTTATTTACATGCCACACACTCGCATCCCAAGATGCCTGATGTTGTACATCGAATGCATGGCTCTAGGCTAAAATGCTTTGTGATAAGCCCAAGAACTTGGCCTAAATGGGGGGAGGGGTTCCAGTGGGCGGGGTAGCCGCGACAGACATCCTTGCATAATATGAGGCAGGCAACATCAGCGCAAGTAGATTGCTGCAACATATCACTTCCTGTGCTGCCGCTGTTGCTTATCCCCCCTTTGAAAATAAACCCCTCAGTCGCCTGCCTTCCTGCAGCAGCAGCTTCCATCGCTCAATTGCTGATTTTTAATTACAAATGCAAAGTGCAACAGCAACAGCGGCAGCAACAGCAATGCATGCTGCATCTGCCTGCACACGCAAACTAGCAATCACCGGCGGACAAAGTAGCCAACAGACTATATATTATATAGGTATCCATGTGATCCGAGTGTGCAACGTGCCACAGTGTGTGTGCGCAATCAGGCAAAAAGCAGGTGGGCAGCTGGCCCAGACAAAGTCTTTTTCTTGCATGGTTCGGGGCGCCGCCAGATTATTTATTATGTATGCATATTTATGCTGCATCTCTAAGTATTTTATAATAATTTTTACCCATTTTTTTGTCAGTTTTTCTGACCCTAACGGTGTAGACCATTTTGCCAAAAGTGGCCGACAGACAGACGCAGTTGCAGCCTGCAGTTTGCAGACTCCAACTGAGAAATCCACTGCGGTGGCGGCTTTGTCTCTGTGCGACATCGCAGCTCCCCAGGCGAGAAACTCGTTTCTCTCTTTCGCTATTTTGATTTTTTCCTTTTTTTTCCTCGGTCTTTTTTTCTGCGATTTTTGCAACTGCAACAGCTTATGGCACTGCCAGCCATACACGAATTTAATTAATAAGTAAAGAAATATCAAAAAAGGTGGCATCCGTGCATTTGATTGATTGCTAATTACACGCTGGCCCCGTGTGCACCTGTGCGCCTGCGCAGTGGGAATTCGGCAGGGAAGTCGGCGGGACTTTCGCAACCCACCTGGAAGCATCTTCAGTGCACTCAAAAATTCCAAAGCCAACTATAAACTCACAGAAGTTTTCTAAATAGTTTGTAATGTCTGTCAATTAAATCTTTATAAATAATTTTAAAAATATTTTATTTTTTAATATTTTATTACATGGTCTTTAATATCGCCAACATTAATTCTATATATTATGTATCCATCCTTTTTCGAATTTATATACACCAATGATCGGTTAATAATTCGCATTTTATTGCTTCTTGCTCATAATTACTTAATGCTCAGAGGATAAGAATTGGAGCGCCCATAAAACTTCAAACGCAATTATCTTGGAATTTTGTTTTATCTTTGAAAAACTTAGTTATCGGCTATTAAAAGCTTTAATTCCGATCACACTCAAACGTACCATTTACGTATTATAATTTTCCTATTCCTATATAGACTATATTCGCTAACCGACATTTATTAGTTGAAAATTTTTTCATAAACTAATTTAGACAATAAGAAAACATTTTAAAGACAATATACATAAGGGAAAAGTTATATTTTCCCGCTGTTTAAGCGCATATTACCTAATAAACCATTCTTAAAAAATTACCCTTCTTACAATAAAAATTCCCAACTTTGCTTTAACGTCACTCATAAATCTCAGTGTAAATCTAGCCCAATCTAATAATATTCCTTGCCGTAATTACAGGGCGCCGAACGCAAGACGCGCGACGAGGAGCGACGGGCCGCCAAGCGAAAGATGACAGCGACGGGCAGAAAGAAGCTGGACGAGCTGTACCATCCGGTGACGGATCGGTCCGAGTTCTACGGCATGCAGGACTTCGCCAAGCCGCCGGTGCTGTTCTCGCCCGCCGAGGACATGGAGAAGGTAGGTCAGCTGGGCATTGGCGCTGGCTCCGGCATGACATTCAACCCCCTGAGCAACGGCAACTCCAACTCCAACTCGCACTCGTCCTTGCAGAGCTTCTACGGCCATGAGACTGACTCGCCGGACCTGAAGGGGGCCTCGCCGTTCCTGCTCCATGGCCAGAAGGTGGCCACGCCGACGCTCAAGTTCCACAACCACTTTCCGCCCGACATGCAGACGTGAGTAAAAATCGTGCATCCATTTTAGAGAGCAACTAAATAGAGTAAATAAATTGAAAACTAATTTTATTTATTTTTTTTTTTAATTTTACACCATCTATTGTAGCGATAAGAAGGACCACATACTGGACCAGAACATGCTGACCAGCACTCCCCTGACCGACTTCGGTCCGCCGATGAAGCGCGGCAGGATGACGCCGCCCACCTCGGAGCGTGTGATGTTGTATGTGCGGCAAGAGAACGAGGAAGTCTACACGCCCCTCCACGTGGTGCCGCCCACCACGATCGGCCTGCTGAATGCGGTAAGCACGCGCTAAACCCCAAAACCCCAAGAACCCAATCCCAAAACCCAGCCAGTCCCAAAATCTAAAACAATCAAACCAAACCAAACTCGTTCTAATGGTTAACCACCTTTTCTGTAATTTTGTTCATTTTGGTCTAATTGGATCTACTGAAAAGAAATCAAACAAATGAAGCGCCAAAATGTTCAATCTCTCTAAAATCGTTAATCGACTAAGACTAAAGCATAAAATCGACTAAAAATCAGCCACATCTCAAACTCTAAATATATAAATCGTTACTCACCCGAAGAAATTCGATAATTTGTAACCTGTAGTTGGAACTAATTACAATCCATGAAATCATCGCCAAAAACCTCATCCAAAGTATGTATATGTAAACACGTGTATATACGTTGAATCACCTGCTAAAACCCAAGCAGACCCAAGATCTGTTCTCCAAAACACATTCCACACACTCTAAGGCACAAAAAGATATCAAGATATAGATGAAACGAACACTGAAACCTGATTAAATTAAAGATTGGCTGACCACAGAAATGAACAAAATTACACAAAGAAAAACCAGCGAGTTATAAGAGAAATATTTCCAGTAGCAACAGAAAACAACAAACAAAACAGACAAAACATCATATTTCTCTCGTTTCTCAATTGCAGATTGAAAACAAATACAAAATCTCAACAACGAGCATAAATAACATTTATCGCACAAACAAGAAGGGGTAAGTAGTAAGCAAGTTCTAACAGATTTTTGTTGTGAGCTAGAATAGAAAAACACAGATATACACCCACACAGAAAGATATATACACCAGGATGCATCCTTCCCCTCACATCATTATGGCATAGCTTTTATCTTAATAAATCTAACTTACTTCGTGTGCTAACTTTTTGCATGGGTGTACTAATCTATAGGAAACTAAAAAATAACAAAAAACTAACATTATTTACCCGCATATTGTCATTACAGGATTACTGCGAAAATTGACGATGACATGATATCGTTCTACTGCAACGAAGACATCTTCCTGCTGGAGGTGCAACAGATCGAGGACGACCTGTACGATGTGACGCTCACGGAGCTGCCAAATCAGTAGCACTGGCAGTACGGGTAGCTCCCCATAGAACGAACACACTCAACAATACACAAAACACGGACACAACAAGTTGTTTCAATAAGCCATTTTCCATAGAGCCTAAGTCTAATATCGTAGTTGTAATGGGACCCCGAACAAATCGGGGAAATTGCTACCGGAAGTTAAAAAAAGCTAACACAATACTTATGTAAAATGATTTATATATATATATACACTTAAAATTCGATTTAGTTATTTAGCAACAATGAGATTATCTAAAATTGTTTGATCAAATTTTAAATTCTCGCTATGTCTATAGATATTTTTTAAGACCTATTCGTAATCGTAGCCGTGTATTTATGCTCATATATCCCACCATATATATGTGCGGAGTGCAAAAGTGTCTGTCCAGTAGGAAATAAGTCTCGTTTCCGTTTCCGCTCCCCTGCTTATGCTAAGACCTTAGGTCCAGGGCAAGTAAGAGTTACAGAATCTATCTTTTAGGTGTATCTAACGGCATCATTAGCTCTGCACGAAATCTAGACCATAGGCGTATTGTAATCATTTTGTATGTTCGGCTTAAGCGTTTTAATTGTTGAATATAAATTGTAAAATTATTTTTGAAAAACCCACACAAAACACAAATCGTTTGTTCTATATTTCTGTTTCGAAACCAACTCGTTACCCCTTTCCCTTACAAAATCCTCTCTGTTATGTATAATTAGGATCTCTGTACACAAAAACGAAAAAGATGAAAACTTTGACGAACAAAAAAATTGGTAAAAACACTCTTGAAGTAATTATCCTTAAATCTAGATATACACCTAGAGATAAGAACACTCTGCAATAAAACATGTTGATAAAAATCGTAATTAAGTCCAAGCTAAGGCAAAAACAAAATCGAAAAAAAGACAACTTTAAAAACATTTGTGTGCATTTGTTGAAAAACAAAAAAATCTAAATATCTAAAGAACAATGATCAACCGAAAAAGTTGATTCAAAACTAAAAACAGATTAATCAAGAATAAAGAATCGATAATCAACGGTAGCACCACAAAGGATCGCAACATTCGTACGAATATAGACACAGATATATATGATATGTATAGGGATAATATGTCGCATAGCTCGAATGCGTTTACAATCTTTGTTTGCCATAATTAACAGTTTAATTTAATTAACGAAATGTTTTGTGTACAATGTTATTTGAATTCAAGCAGAGACTTCACCGCGAGATTTGCTTGGAACTACGAATACTCCGCATCGATTGCTACAATTTTGAACAGTACGAGTTCAATGCTCAATATTATTATTAATTGTTTATTAATTGTAATCCCCCCTTAATTTCTGTCTACTCTCCGAAAATCCCTAATAATGCTCTCTACTTCTTCTTCTTTTGCCCAATAACTCTTTTTGTGAGAGGGAAAACCGTTTTCCACTTGACATTTCCGGTGTTGTACATCACAATTTGTTTTTAATTTTAGCCCTTAGTTCTAAAAGTACTATTCAAGATTACAGAATATTATGATATGAAATGAGAAGAGAAGAGATAGGACATATCAGAGGATATGAAATGATGATGAATCGAAAATCTTGCCGGCATGTTATAATTCTATACGTTTAGTTATCGTAACCCTTAAGTTCTACGCTCTTTCTATATATTGTATACACAAAACATACACATATATTTTAAAAGCCAATAATTTATTTTTTGTTACTGTTGGAAAACGATTCCGCGAAAAATAGAAAAGCGAAAAACCACAAAAAAAACGTGAAAATGCAACTGAGAACAAGAGACACTCTATCATGTGCATGTCCAACTTGAGAAATTATAAAAAGAGACAAACAAACAAAATAAAACAAATTGTACAATATAATTATAATGAATACACAACATTTAAATAAAGAACAAAAAGTAAAAAGGTTGCATTTTATAAAAGGGGTTTTAATGCGTTTATTAAAGTGTATCCCTTTAGGCTTTGATGTTTATGATTTGATGTAGAATTATTCAAATATTATTTCCGAATATTTCCTGTTTACTTGGCAATGTCCGTGATGAGAGAAACAGCTTCAACACTACCAACATATTTACCATTCTTGAATAGTTTTGCCACGCCCTTTAAATAGCCTCGGGGCATCATGGTCGGCCAACCGTCAGTATTGGTGAGCACCTCCTTCAAATAGTAAATCCCTTTTGGCACTGGACATGGGCGGGTGTGGACGGGAAAGTCCGTGTTCTCTCCGTACTTTAAGGTCGCTTTAACGTACGAGTAATATGAGTTTAGGGCCTTACAGAATTCTTGCAAGGGAGCAGAAAAGGGGAGCAGTGTGTAGTCGCCACCGCCATTGGAATCGATGAAACTTTCAGCGGAAACTGAAAATCTATTATCCATATCTTCCCTTAGTTCCAAAGTACCATTTACCAGGCGATCTCGTCCCAAAAATCGAATTTTACTGAAATCTACAAACTCTGGGCCCGAGGCGTTAAGTGATATAAAACGAACATCATACGTTTTCGGAAAGAACGTCTGCAAAAATTAATGTTAAATAATTGAATCGTTTGGGTATTTTTCGGTTTCTTACGAAAGCCTTCCCGATCAGCATTAGTATAATAAAAAAGAGTGCTTTCTGCATTGTTTCGCGTTAAACTGCATAAAGGTCGATTTGAATTGGACATTTATACGGCCAATGGTGGCTTTAAATACTACATTGTACATCTCTATTATCTAATAATAATCGCTTCGTAATTGCATTTTGTATTAATTTTTACTGCCATGCAATATAATTTCATTAAGTTATCTACCTATCTACTACATTGACTTTTACTTTTTCAGCGAAAATGTGGTTATAGAAATTAAAACATGATTACACATGATTAATAACACTAAAAACACAAGATTAAAAATAATGCTTAAACATTGAGGTCGGAATAGATTTTTTGCAAAGTCCTTTGCAATTTTAAATTAAACAGTGCAAATTCCAACAAAAAAGGTTATAGGTATAAGATTGCAAATCTATTAAAATGTTGTTAGGATCGCTTTAGGTTTTTAACCTGGTTATAATATTTTTATATTTATCAAAAAAGAGTTGATTTAAGTAATTTTACACGTATCTGTATAAACCCATGTAAAATCAATGTAGATACGGTGTCAAACATGTAGATATCTGTAAAATGCGAATATGAAAATTGACATTCTACAAAACTATCTGAAAAACCGGCTGTTTAGCTTTTCGAAAACCCACGGAATCTAACGGCAATATTACCTGGCAAAGCAGCAACAATCAAATGTGCAATGCCGCCGCTGCCGACGTCGACTTGGCAGCTACTGCGCTTTTCGGCAGCGACATCGGTATTTATTTATCTTTGCGTTGGCAGCGCACTTTTCATTCATTCGGAGTGCTCGCAGAAAAGCGAACGTGTGTGCTACGCCGCCGCCGTATTTATCTTGTATTCTTATTTTCTGTTGTGTTTCGCGGTTTCTTGTATCTTTTTTGTATTTTTTGTCGTGCTTTGAGATATTCTTGTATTAATTTTTTCCGCCTCGCGCATCGTGTTCGCTTTTTTTGCGCATATTTCTAAGCATCGTAACTGTTTGTTCGTGGGTCTCAAGCATTTCATTTGCACAACAAACAATGTGCAAATATTTGGCCGACAGTTGACTACACCAAAATAATTATAATCAGTGACAAGATAAAAAAAATAGCTCGCTGATGATCCGCAGATAACACGGCGCGCTGCGAAGAAAACCCGCATAAACAGCTCCCAAAGAGAGTGACAACCAGTCGTCGAGTGGAAAACCATTCATCACCATCAGTTAAAATTTCGAAACGATTCGCGACGGTTGTGGATAGCAGCTACATAATGTAAGCCCTTTTAGAAAGTACGGTTGAACATCTATGAATCGATAAATATAAATAAATATAAATAGATTCAAACTCCTGAAGGCAAAGATATAATATCCAAAATTTACAAAGTTATCAGTTCGGCTTATTAAAGAGCAGACCTACTTATCTTTTTTAAGACAGTGAATATTTAAATCATTTATTTGGAATCCAAGAAATTTAAAGTGATTTTATAGACTTAATCCTTCTTCTTAGTTAAATTTTTTTCAGTAATGTGATAAATATTTTATGCATTTATTATTGTAAATTATATTCAAAGTATTAGGATTCTAAAATCCAAAATAATATTTTATTTTGTTTGTTAGCTGTTTGTTCCTTTTATAGATGTTCCACTTTAAATGTCATAATGTGATGGTATAGAAAGTGCATTAGCTGAAGCCGGAAAAGTTGCCAGCCCAAACACGTGCATAAAAACCTAGAAAAAGCAACGAACAAAAAACGGCAACTTGTTTCGTTACGCCTTAGCTTATAACTAAATGTAAAATACATAGTTTGATTCGGCTAGCTGAAACGCACAGGTGAGCAGCTCTCATTTCTGGATTCCCATTCCTATTCCCATATCCATTCCCATTTCGAAGCTTCCCTTCTCCTGTCGGTCATTTGCAATTCCAAGTTGCACTCAAACTACTTGACAATGCTGAAATTTCAATTGCAATTTACACTTTCGCTTGTATACATTACAACCGACGAATAAGTTTTATTCGATGGCAATTACTATCAATTGAAAAGGGCGCGCGAGCCATTGACAGAATCGAACCTAACGGTTTTGGATTCTACCAGATCAGGGCCAATGCACTGAGCGAAAAAGGGTTATATGAAAATATTACATTTAAATTTATGTTTTCTAGTGAAGTCTTCTTTTAAAAGATTATAATTCCCAAGTTGTATTTCAGGAACATCCAATAAGCATTTTAAAAGAATATTTTAATGAAAATTTAAAGCTATTAAAGCTGATTTAAATAGTTAATAATAATAATCCAAATGTTTTCACTATCGTTTCCTCTTAGTGCCCTGTTGAATCACAGGTTGACCCTAGACACGCCATCATTGTGTCATTGTAATTACTGTTATTGGAATCGGGTTCGCTTAACTTTCGTGTTTCATATCGCTTGCGCAACTAACAAATCTAGATTTTCTGGGAAAATTAAGTAATTTACTTTGCTTCACAATCTAGCCAAATTAGTTATTAATCCCAGGATCTGTGTAGAAACTTCTACCCTTTCTCTTATCTTAATTACCCGCCTGTATCATGCTGATCGTGCTAATCAACAACAAAGACGACATTGGTAATTCCCCTAGTCAGATTTCCTAGTCAGATTCGAACTTCAATCCGATGCCTCCCACTCCAATCGCCCAATCATATTGGAACATTCATTAGATACCCAGATGCTCAATTGATGACTGCTGACAGCACCGGCATCGGTCGATAGTTAATTGCACAACGTGATTATGACATCCCCCCGCTCACCTTTTATTGAATTTAACAAATTTACTTTCGGTTCATTAAAATATTCGTTCTACGCCTAGCGCTTGCCGCAGATTTATGGCTCTTCCATTTCGTCTGGCCTTGTGATAGACAGAGTCAATTTTTGAAGAATTGTGTAAATTTGCCCGGGGCACACAGTGTTTGCATTCTCCGAGTGCGAGTGAGTACTTCCCATCCGATACACTTGGACCTTTGTCAGTCTGGGCTGGGAAGATCTGTTGACAGAACCTTTAGCCGGGGGCCTGAGGTTGCTGCCACTGTTCTCGAGATCCAATTACGCAGCTCGGTAAGTCAGTGGCCAGAACGTGTCAAGTATGAATTACAAACATCTGAAGCAGAGGTTGTAAAAGGGAGCAAAAGTACTGGGGAAAAAAATTAAATTAAAACAAGAAAATATTCTCAGTTTTATTTACAATTAAAATAATATAAATCATCATAAAAGTACTAGAAAGGCGGTGACACATTAACTTTCAGATTTGAATTAGTAAAGCGTTGAGTTTCGAAAAGGGAGTAAATGCACTGAGATAAAGAACTTCTTCAGTAAGATAGTGTAAATCTTAAATTCTTCAAAAAAATAATTACAAAATATTGGAGTAAAAGTGTTTCGAACCAATATAATGAAAATTAATTTTGTTTCTAAAACTAAAAAAAACATCTTATAAAATCATCCTTCTGTTTTTAGTATAAGTTGTATAGGTTAATTTTAAATAAATCGTTCTTAAACCAATGAAACACATTTTAGGATCCTACATGATTAATTCTTATTATTATTTCTGGTCAATTTTAGTTAAATAAGCTTCAGATATATACACATTTATGTATACAAAAACATATGATTATAAATTTCGTCTCCTTATTGAAAACCGGAACAAGCTGTAATCTTAATTCCCGTTCTCGCAGTGTTCAAAAGAAAGGCACAAAGATCGATTCACTTTGAATCGGTTAAAGCTAAACCGCAGCCTCAGCTGTTTGGGCCAAAAGCTTTCCATTCGAAAGCTTTTCCCGCGCCACTTATTAACTGGTTTAAACAATTTCCCCTGTTTGTGTTTTCCGTTGGCGTGACTCTTCCGCATCTGCATGTGCAACTGGGCGAAACAGGCACCTCAACTCAAGCAACTCAAACAAACAGGGCGAAGATCAAAAGCCATATTCCATTGCTTACTCACGATCGTAAAGTCTGATCCACTTTTACAATTAACCCGAAATCTTCCTGCAACAATTAGATAAAGAGGCCTTAACGATGCCCAAATTGTTTAACAATAAGCGCTTTAAGCCGTAAAAAGTATTTCATTAAGCAAATAAGGGCAATGCGAAAGGCGCAATGAGGGGAATAAAATCGCTCCCAGAGCCCCAGAACGTGCCAATAATACTAAAGTATAATTTTTTATCGAGGAGATACGAAAGCCCACGAATGGTTTTCCCCCCGACAATTGCGTGGGGAAATGGGGGAATTACGGTGGGGGGCGGGGGAGTGGAATCAAAATTTCTTAATAGATTGGCGTTGCGCTTGAGGAAATTGTCGTCGGGTCGCAAAGTAATTCCAGCTCAGAGCGATCGCCTATATATCACTCTTTCACTCTCCGATTTTCTCAGACCCTCTCCGTACCCCGATTTCTCACTATCTCTCCCTCTTTTTCTCTCTTTTTCTCCGGCGTAAAAGCTCCGATCGCTCGCTTGGGGCGTTTCGTTTGGGGCTTGTGATTTCGGTTTCAGTTTTGAAGATCACTCGTTGCGAAGCGGACGCCCAGCAAAGCGGAAAGAGAAAGCTAAAATATTATTCAAAATAATAAAAAAAAAACCTTACCAACTCGAACTCCATTCCGAACTCTGTAATTTACCACATTTGTGTACTTAAGACGTGAATAAATACAGAAATCGAGCAAACAAAGCTGGTCGTCCACACAAAACAAAGTTACACTTCCCATCGTATAACCCAATATCAATGTCAAGCGATCGTGAAAACACTCGATCGTTCCAAATCCGGGGTCAGAAGCTCTCCGGCTGATTAACACTCCGCATCTCCGCATTCGCCGATCGAAATAAATAAACAAAAACAGGCAGCAAACACACAAATACGGCAAATACTACAAATACGAGCTATAAGCTAAGAAATTAACAGAAACGCGCGGAATATAGAAAAACACGTTTCCACAAAAAAGGTGCTCGCACAACAACAAATTAACCAAATAACAAATAACACAAATTGCTGTCGTTTTTCGTTATTTGTTATTGAAAACACGCGCACACGCATTCGAAATAAAAGGCCCTGATTCTGGCCATTACCAAATATGTCCAAAAGCTGAGCTTGAATCGAGATCGCGGCGGCGTTTGTCGACTTGAGCTTGTAACCCGAGCAGCCGTGACCGCAGAGAAGTCACCTCAAAGATACTAGATACAGATATTACAACACAAAACGCCATGGAGCGTTCGCACAGCTGTAGCAATTTCGAGGGCCGAACGGGGGGAGGGGGAGTCAAGGTCATCGATGGCTGCGCCGAGCAGTTGACGCGCGGCAGCAGCGATCACCTGCCCAGCGCCCACTTTCCGCCCAACAAGCCGCTGCGCAGGCGCAGAAAACTCCAGCGACAGCAGTCGGCGGTGGATGTGGATGACATGGAATATGCCGCCGATCTGGAGGAGAATGCCGATCCGGATGTGGAGAATATAAGGCCAGCGGTGGCCCTGCCCTTGCGACACATTATATCATCATCTTCCTCCAGTTCCCGCTGCCTGCGCCACGAAGAATCCTTCGAGTCCTCGAGCACAGCTCCCGAATTGAGTCCCCAGGCTCAGAGGCAGCAGCGATTTAGTAGTTTACTCCTGCGAGACAGCTCTGTATCCGTACAATCCGATTCGAGTCGGTACTCCAGTGTGGACAGCTTGCTGGAGGCCCGCAAACCCGATCCCGAGGCCATACTCATCAACCTGGGCTTCGGACCCCTCAGCTCCGAGGATATGCTGTCCCGGATACCGCGCAGATTCCTGAAGCCATCCCAAGTTCCCGGCATCGATACCGATGCCTTTGTGCAAAGACTGACTTTGGCCCGATCGCTGGCCGACTCGAGTGTCCTCGGATATAGGGGTCTTACGGGGAATCCCGACATGCCGCCCTCGTCCATTGTGGCCAGCATTATGAAGCGCTTCGAGGTCAACCATCATCGCAAGAACTCCATGGGCTCCATCAAGCCCACCATACAATAAGTCAGCCATAGTCCATAGGTTAAATCAGCCGAATTGAGGACATTTTCGTAACGTTAGTTGTTGCCAAGTTGCCCTGTGATCGTCTTGTCTTGTCCATTAGTCCACTTAAGTGCCGCGTACTTAGCTGTGTATCTGTATTATTGTACCAATACATTAATTATTAATTTTTTAAGTATGAATTAAAGATGATATTTTATGTTAATTTTGTGGTCTTTAGTTTTCTGGGGCTATTTATGGGCCGTAAATGGTGTATTTTTGTTCAACAGGAGCAGGTTTAAAGGCCTCAATTTACATTTCGGCTCCGTTCGTCAGCAGATGTTTATTTTTGAGAAAACAATAACTAATTTTAATATTTAAGCTTTCCAGTTTCACGAGTTTCCGATCTATTGAAGTATTTCGAGCCTAAAATTCTCGAGTTATTCATAAAGAAACCAGAAGTTTCCATTTCAAATGTAAAACGCAATAATTGCCGTTCAATGGAAGGGACTTTGTAACTGGTCAAAAGTTACAGAGTGGGTTTCATTAAAAAAGAGCTTTTAAGAGTTATATAATTAGAGCCTTTCAATCAATTACCTTTTCAGATAATCAAAATGAATGGGGGCATTTCGAGATTTCAAGTGTTTGACTTCACTTCCCAGAATTCGCTGTTTTTCTCCAACTTGAATCCGAAATTAGAAATCTGCGTCACTGTCAAATGGGCTGATTGTTTATGTACATATGTTGTAGTTGAACAAATTCATTTGCGATATAAGTACATATTTACATATATGTACACCCCGCCGAAGCCCACAGACACACATTCATGGTGTTTGCATTGTTTGTTATTTTCATTTTTTTTTCTTATCGAAAGTCGATTTCTGAGCGAAGTTTTATTAATAGCCAATGACTTGGCACTCTTGTGTCGAAGGAAACAATAAAGAACATATCGGGTAGAGCTGGGAACTGAAAGACCCAGAAGGGATTACAAAGTCTGCGGCACTCGGGGATCGCTTATTGATTTCAATTGCCCCGCAATTGTTTACATTCACAGCCCAAGTCGTGATCAGCACGGGAGCAGGGCATGCAAAAATATTATAGTTAGTTATTGGGCCCTAACCCCGCTGAACCGTTTATTTGGTCGCCAAACAAATATTGTATAGCCGCCTGATAACCGATAATGGCATTTGCGCACATTTGTAACACCTTGAAGGCGACGCACGGCCCACAAGGAATTCTAATACGTCCGCATACAGCAACGGGTAGACTAATAGATTGAAAAATAACAGAAACTAAAACAATTTTTGGCAATCGTAACTCCTTTAAAACTATCAAACATATTTATAAGACCTCACAATACATTTTTTGAAAAAGTGCAAATTAAATTTCGTTTGTATTAGTCATGGCAAACATTTCTCTACTTAAAACCAAATTATTTTCTTAAATTTTGTCTGTTTAATCCACAATAAATATTTCTAAAAATAACTTGTTTGAAAATGTATTAGATTCGATTAGATTCACAGAAATTGTTTCCAAACAAAATCATATATACATACATACTTCTTAAGTATTTAGAGAATACCATTACCAATTATTCCTACAAACTCAATAATTTCACCAGTTTTGAAATATAAAAATGTTTTTTGACTAAATTCTAACTGGCATACGTGTCGTATGAGTAATTTTTAACGAAACTTTCGGGCTCTTACTTCAAGAAAAAGTGTACCATGAACACTTTCTTAAAACTATATTCTGATAAGCTACTGTTTTTTATTTTTTACCGTCATCTTTTAAAACTTGACTTTTTTTTAAGAAATTAAAAAAAATAAGTTGTTAGCCGTACACATTTATGAGGAATAACTTCAAAAATCGTGAATCTTGAATTAAGAGCCTTAAGGTAAAATCGAAATATCTTTTTATTGAAGCTCTTATTACTGTGATCACGACTGTTGCTATGCAAATACGTGAGTGCTCGCGCTTTGGTTTGGGGCATATCCAATAGATAACGGTTCTGGGGCTCTACATCGGCACATGACTCGCTTTATCTATCGATGGGATGTAAATTAATTCCCAAACAAAGCAACGCAAGGCAAAATAAAGAAAAGAGGGAAAGAAAAGCGAAGAAAGCCTTGCCAAACACTTGCGAAAGTGTTTGTGTGAATATTAGAAAACAGAAAGAGAGGGGGCGATTAGCACAGTTATGCGAGATCCATTCTGCACTCCTCGCACTCACTCACGATTTGCAAGTTCAAGGCGGACAACAACAAAAAAGAATGACAGATGGAATGTCCATATGTATATATGTACATTAGGGCGGTCCAAAAAATAAAATTAAATTCTCACCCCTTCACAAAAAAATTTTTTTTCGTTATTTAGACCCTGCGAAACGTCCTCAAAGTTTGCTTAAGAATTACTCATACGACACGTATAACGTCTAGTCTTTATTGTCTTGTCAAATTATGAATTTTGTTGAAATAATTGGTAAGAAAAGGAGAGCAGAACATCAACTGAATTGTTGATATCTAAGCCACTTTGATTAGAACAACTTTTTGATCGAGGGCAACAGTGCGTATGGGTGATAAACTTTGAAACCAATTCGCAGACCCTACAATTTTTTTCAAAAATTTTCTTTTGTTCCTTGTTCCTTGAATACCACAATGCGCACCGTATAGGCGGGTGAGGACCTTAAAAATTTCCATACAAATGTGGACCACCCTAATGTACATATGTATGTATGCAGACCAAGAATAAAATAATTTTCGACCACGCCGGAAGAATGTGAAAGAAAATTAGCAAACCAAAACAGAAAGAGAGCTCGTTAAAAAGGCGAGAAATAGAAAAAAAAGACAGCTATCGGCAATTTAAAATGTGTGTCAGGGCGTAAAGCTCTGCAAACAATTTGATTAATTCCCCAGTGCCTGTGTGTGGGCGTTTGATTAATTGCTTTCTTAGGCATTAAGTAGTAAATAGAAAATCACTTACCTCGCAATTAATATGGAAAATCCTCAACACAGTAGAACCACACAAATTGAAAACTGTAAACATTTCGCGCCTTTCGAGTAACGGTCAGCTGTGCTAGGGTTGCCACCACCACTCCAATCGATAGCTATCGATAGCTGCGGCGTCAGGCGTTAGGTCATTTTAGCGCCAGCACAAGTAAAGCAAGCGAAATGCTGTGGAATTTGTTTTTTGTTTAGTTTAATTTCAAAACTCGCCGATTGTACTTAATTTGCACGCTTTTATTTGCGCTGTGGCGTTGCCAACTAAACCAGTTCATCTTTTATTTGCTTTTATTCCCGTGCACCATGGCAGAAGTACTTAAAATCGCCGGAGAAATCGAATCCGCTGCTGGGCCAAAATGTCTGTGTGGACCACGGCCAACACTTCTGGCCTAGAGACGCCGTCCAAGTCGTCGCCGCTCGCCTCGTCGGCCATCCGAGCAGCGAGGAATTCAGCGGTGATCACCACGGCCACTGGAAACCACCAGCAGCACCACTTCCAGCACGTTGTGGCCGCCGCCGTTGCAGCCGCCACTTCAGTGGCCACCGGCCATCAGTTCCAGCAGCAGTTCCACTCGCATCCACATCCGCACCACAGCAACAGTCCCACTGGAAGCGGCAGCAATAGCAACAACAGCAACGCAGGCTTCCAGCGCTCCAGCATCAGCAACTCGCTGCTGCAGTTCCCGCCACCACCGCCCCCTCCCTCGCAGAACCAGGCGAAGGTAAGTCCAATAACAAATCAATTCCAATCCCCCAATCTCTTTCTCTTCGATCCCCCTCTCTCTATCCCTCCTTCCCCGACCGCCCCCACTCTTAAAGCGATGCTATGGAAGCTAATCTCTCTCATCTCCACTCTCTCTCTCACACGCGCTTGCAATGGGCGCACTCAGCAGGTTAATCCGAACACACCTGTGATTTAAGCTGTGATTTGGTGATCAATCACGATGTTTATCTTGGGAGAAATAAAATATTATCTTAGCAAGATTTTATTGCTTTATTTGAGATACATAAATAATGACAAAAGATTAGTTAATCTAAAGAGGTAAAAAAAAAAGTTTAAAACAAGTTTTTTAAAAAACTGAACAGTCAGTTATTTTAAAAGTAATAAAATCGTAGAAATGTTTTAGGGAACACTGCAATCTTATAAGCTTACTAGCAATGAATTTTCATTTTAAACTGTTTCCATAAACTGTCAATTTTATTTGAAAATTAGAAAATATAACTAACAACAATTAAATAGAAAATACCTTTTAAATTACCTGTATATCAATGCCAAAATTAGTTTAATTTATTTTCTTTTATGTTATTACAATTTGTACATTTCCCAATCAAAATTAATTCAAAATAAAGCGAAGAAAGAACAATGACATTTGTTGAGTGGGCTGCCAGATTAAATTTGAGCATTCTACATAATTTAGCTGCAGCTATATTTAGGTGTCTAAAAACGATATGAAAAAGACATAAACGAATTAGTTGTAGAACCGTCGTAAAAAAAAGAAAAAGGTTACTTAAAACCTAAAAGATAAAATCTTCAATTTATGGAGTAAGTCAGCTGATACAAAAAGTTTTGGGTTCAATAAACTAGTGTTAAAATTGTGTTTTTTTTTAGCTATAAATTTTCCTCTTTGTTTTTCCAAAAATAGTAATAAATAAATCTATTTTCTTGTCACTGTAGTTCCATCATAAATCACGTATTTCATATCTAAATTCGCAATCCCCTGCTGAATGCGCCCATTCGATTGAGCCACGAAATCTAACTGACTGACTGACTGACAAACAAACAAGGCCTATGTACGTTTCAAGTCGAACAAGATCGCACAGACATTCGAAAATTCACACACAACGCACATACGTACATATAAATCACTGGTATGACGACTGAGTTACCTGGAGAGAACCTGCTGAATTATTGAACAGTGTTTTTGGCGAACAGCACTGACAATGAAATTGTAAATGGTCATGGAAATATCGTAGAACCGGCGTCTAATTGGCTCCAAGAGTTGTACGCTTCCCTTATCGAGTCTGCTTTATTTACTCTTTTTTTTTACCGGCGATAATAAATACACGCAACCATCCACCCACGAGTACTTAAGAAATGGGGGTGCTCCTTGGTCGGCCTTTCTGAAATCCAGGTGTGTGTTTGCATACGAATTTTGCCAGCGATTCGGAGGGAAAATTAAACACCACCCGCCAGCTGACACCTTCTGTTTTTTGTGCTGCTTTATCGGCTGGACTTATTTATATTCACATTTTTAAAGTGGTTACATGTTGTTTATTCTGAAGGAAGTCAGGCGGTTAAAAATCCCCAGCGATGTCGTTCCGTTTGACAGTCCCGAGTTATTATTAACATTAACCAGATTTGTATTTGTGTAAGCCCCAAAAAGGAAAGCACTTTCCATCTCGATCAGCTTTGTAGTATCGATTTGCTTGTATATCCTAAGATCAACATATTATTAAAATATCTTTTCTTAGATGTTCACAATGTTTCCCCCTTTACCATATGTTTTCTATAAAAAGGCGCCAACACTCTTGCTGTATCAAAAAAGTCTGTTTTAATATTCTGTTTATTTGCTCGATAAGTTTGTTGTCTTTACCCATTTCTCAGTTTTGGTAAATATTTGACTCCCTTTGAATTTTCTAAAATATAAAAACGTTACCGCAAGCATTATTCAAAATTAGAAAGTATAAATTTACAACCGCATGATCTTGATTCATTTATACTTTGTTAGATTTTTGTAGGTAATAATTTTAACAAACCTGTTTGGCTGCACATACTTAAATGGACATATCTGAATAATAGAATTTTGTTTGTATTTATTCTTTCCATTGCGAAAATTGATTATTAGTTGCTATGAAAGTGGTATTTCTATTGATTATCCCATAAAAACCTAGTCACTCTTGATTACATTGCCCATTTTGAGGGGCAAAAAGAATAACACTCCTAATGAAAATTGTTCTTCCCGCTTTACTGCCGTTGAAGACCCTATTCCTGTTGCTAATCCCGATGTCCACTGCCCATTGGGAAGAACAGGGGCAGGGTCTTCGACGGAACCTTTATATAACCGGTGATTACCACCAGAATGTGGTGTCCATACGGACCCGCAAACATATTCGCAATTGGGGTGACAATCATTTCTGCGCCGGTTCCATTCTGTCCGCCCGTTGGGTGGTGACCTCCGGTTGTTGTGTGAGCACCCTGCCGGCAAGCACACCAAATAAGTCCAGTACCCGCAAAAATATTAAGGTGGTTGTCTTCACCCGCAAGCGATTGAAAAAGCCACTGCGTGAAAATGTCTTTAAAGTAGAGAAGGTGGTATTGGGCAAGGCATCTGATGGCGAGTGCTCCAAATTAGCTCTGCTTAAGCTGGAAAAGGCCATTACGGGTCAAAGGTTCGCCATAAAGCTACCGAAAGAGGAGATGAACAGCACTTGGCTCTGCAGAACACTCGGTTGGGGCAGGATGTACTACGTAAGGGATCTTTATTATCCAACTTAAAGAGATAACAGAGATAACACCTTCCCCTAGAACGGACCCTACTCCAACGAGCTTCTCCAGCTGAGGACGCAGAAGAGTTCAGCGTTCAATTGCAAGAAGGACTGCAATAGCTGCCTTTGCATGGGCAGTTTTACGGGCAAGGGCAATATGTGCCAACTGGACAGGGGAAGTCCACTCTTTTGCGGTCACATTATATACGGCGTGGCGCGACAATCACACACTTGCCAGGATGAATCCTTTATGGTGTACACCAGTATCTTTCATCAACGCAAGTTCATCGAGGACACGTTAAGTAGGGCACCTTCGCCTGAAGAGTCCCGACAAATTTTGATCCTCATTGTAACCCTGATGTTACCCTGGTCTTTATTCAATTCGTTCATCAACAATTAGGAAATATGACAAATAACCATGTTTATATATTGAATCACTCTTTACTAAGCCAAATATCTTCTGATCTATGTCAATAAGCTGGGTTTCCACCCACACTAAATTTTGTCAGAGGGTATTGACCTACGATATGGTTTATTTCACATGTGAAGCATTGTGTCCCTGATTGTCTATGGGTTTCTTTGGTAGTTCAATAGGTTTTCAGTCTTCTGCTTGGATCTTGAATCACTAGTTGAAGTTCAGGGCCTTCGCTATGTCCGTTTGTGTCGTATGTGCGTGTGTTTAATCACTCGATTTGTCTTCCCCATTCATCAGCCGATGATCGCTGATCGATTGCCAAATGTAGCAGCAGACGCCGCCCCCTCGCCCTGCCCCATCCCCCTTTTCACACCGCTTTTCACCCCTGTTACTGTTTGTTTTCCTGTAGTTTTGGTTTCGCCTCTTTCGATTCTTCACCTGTCTGGTAGCTAGTTCTCTTTCCGTTTCTATTTCTCACCCACTCTCCCTTTAAACGCTTTCATTCAAATGGCTGTTTTGTACAGTGCAACTTCACTAACACGAACTATTGGTAGATTTGATTACTAAATGTGTATATAGAGGTAGAAATGTTAAATTTATCTCAGGATATCTACTTATTTCTAGTAAGATAATTTAGAAAGCAATAAAAAAAAATGTTTTTTGATTTATTCATTTAAAAAAAAAATTAAGATGTTAATAAATATTTATTTATTACCGATGGTTGTAAAGTTTTCAAAAGTTGTGGTATATACATTTTTACAAATATAAAAACTAGATTTTTTATTGTCACTATAAATTGTCAAACCTTAAATTAATAAATTTTATTATAATGATAAAATTAGATCTGCAGACCTTGTTGCTGAATAAATTATTTTATATTATTATTCAATTTTTACAATTAACCTTTTAAATTATTGAAAAATGTCTTTCTTAATTTTGTATAATATTTATTTGTAAAAGTTTAATATTGTAAATTAATTCTATTCATTTTTTCCTATAAATCAAAAATCAACCCAAAGTCAAAACCAATTTTTTTTAACCATTACTTTTTTACTAATTGTTTAAATAGTCCAAACCATTGTGAAGATAAGAAATTTAATTTAATTTAAGTTTCAAGTACTTGACGATAGTCGCTTGAATAAATTATTTTATATTATTATTCAATTTTTACAATTAACCTTTTAAATTATTGAAAAATGTCTTTCTTAATTTTGTATAATATTTATTTGTAAAAGTTTAATATTGTAAATTAATTCTATTCATTTTTTCCTATAAATCAAAAATCAACCCAAAGTCAAAACCAATTTTTTTTAACCATTACTTTTTTACTAATTGTTTAAATAGTCGAAACCATTGTATAGATAAGAAATTTAATTTAATTTAAGTTTCAAGTACTTGACGATAGTCGCTTCTTTTCCTAATCAGATTTTTCAATTACGGTTCGTTTTTGAGGAGTTGTACTGTCATAGTTCGATTGCCATTATAGTAGCTGTTGTTGTTTTTTGTGTCATCGCAGGCCGCCCCGTTCAAATTGATTGTCGAATTTGAATATACGTCGTCGCCGCCGCTGTGCCGCCTTGCCGCCAGTACCGCTCAGCTCGGCCGCTCTGCTCTGCTGGCAGAGCCGTATCAGTTAGTTGTTAACTTGCCATCGCCGAAGGAACAAGAGGCGCGAAAAAGCGAAATGAAATCGAATTAAATGTGCACCGCGCACCTGAATAAAAGTTCGTGTGGCGGAAAGGCAAGAATTACTTTTCGATTCGGCGATTCGTTTTCTTGCGTGGCTTTTTCTCTTTTTTTGCGGAAGTGTCGCCAGCATCCGTGACTGTTTGCCGTTTTCCGATCTCTATATCTTTGTCAGACGTTAGAGTACAACTCTTGGCCTTGGCCACAAAGCAAGAAAAAAAGGTCGGCAACAAGTGCCTGCTAAAAACTGTTTTATTGACACATGTATTTTACATTTTATAAAGCCCATAAAATGTGTTTATAAATAAAAAGTAAATATTTCAACGCACACAAAAGACAGGAAAGAGTGAGAGAGAGAGTGCGGCGAATATAGAGAGAGATGCGAGAAATTTTCACCGTGCGTGTGTGTGGCCTATGTGGGTAATTGTTGATCAATTGTCATGTGCAAAAAATGAAAACAATAACAGCCAGCGAAAATCATTCAGCATCATCAATGGGAAGCATTGCAAAATCAAGCAAGTGAAACGGAACCTAATGAAACAAGCCCCACGAAAAACAGTGGAAAACAACGAGATTACAGTGACAAGTGGCGAACGAACTCGGGAACTGAGATTAATCGAAATCCAAGTACAGTGGGTAACCGACATTGCCGAGGTCCAGAAAACTCCATTATCGCAAATACATATGCTTATGAGTGAATCACCCACATATACAATTTTTTAAAAAAGAAGCCCCTGAAATACCAGCAAAAACCAACGATAACACTAAATCCCGAGTTGATAATTCAAATTTAGACTTCTGAAAAAGTCGCCAAGATCAAGGGTAATAAAATTAATATTCCAAGGAACAAAAAACTGTAAAAGTTCTCATCCAATAGACCCCAGACGACAGAAAAGTTCACGAAAAGCAATAAAATCCATATAACTGAGGTCCAAACGGTTAAGAAATGAATAATATAACTACTGCGAATCAAGTGCTGTGCACAGCAAATTGAAACGTTCTAAGAAAGTGCCTCATAATTGAGGCAGGGCGTTGTCGATAACCAACATGAGACCTTTATGACCTGATGGAATATTTTTATTTATTAATATATGCCAGACATTGGAAATCAGCCGATCTGATCGGTCAACTTGTGGAGCATAACGAAAACCAAACGGTATTTTGAGAGCCAATAAACTTTTGATCTTGTGGAACAGCTTAAGAACTGAAAATAAAGTAAGCTGAGTTTTCAACACTATATAAGAAAACCTATCAGACTGTATAGAGAAAATTGTTTGGATACAAATTAAATTTGTCGGACCTTTAACAAACATACCAAAAAGTGATTTTTTAGATAAAAACACTGCTTTGAAATTTAAGGAACAGGATTGTACGATACTAAACGATCTTATATATATAGCTCGGGATTTTGAGCCAAGTTTGAATATTATAAACCTCACCCAAGAGCGAGTTTTTTATTAAATATAAAATATATTTTGATTTTTGCTGATAAAAAACATAGAATTGTAAAAATATATCAGACTGATAGTCGCCGGGCAAGCCAAGAATCAAGTTTAAAGTCAAGGCAGTAGCCCATGCCACCTTTTGAAGAGGGTGAAGTCCAGCCAGAGGAGCAGATACCTCTAAAGCCGCCGCGTCGACAGAGAAAAATGAAGTCTGCGGACCAAGAAACCGCCAAGCCGTCGGCAGAGGATCACGAGGAGGAGCAATTACTGCCACCGGCCACGGCGACTAGCAATCTGCGATATGCCCGGGCCAATTTGAGCCAAAGCAGCCTGATGCTGAGCCACCAGCAGGGCTCCTTCGAGTCATCCACCGAGCGAACGGCGAGCAGTGAGACCCTGGATGTGCTACCCTACTCGAGGCGCTACCAGGTGCAGCATCCCCAGCCGAACCGCTTGGGGATTCGGCAGCAACCTTCGGCCTTGGCGAGCGCTCTGCATGCCACTGCCAGATTGGCGGCCAGTGTGGATGCCTATACGGCGGCGGCTACAGCGGCCACAGCGGCAACCGGCGACAATCCGAACCTCAGTCACATGCACATCAACCAACAGCCGCAGTCCCAGGCGCCGCCCCTCCACCACTACCCCAACCAACTGCCCTCGCACCAGCTGGGAAATCTCAGAGCGAGCAATTTCGTGGGGTCGTCGCGGTATCTCTATCACAGCCAGTTCAATTCGAATTCGCCGCAAACGAGACGCTTCACTGCGCAGCGAGACGGCTCGCCAGCATTCGCGGCTTCAGCAGCGGCAGCAGCTTCACTGGCGGCAGCTTCGGCAGTAGCACCACTAGCGCCACTAGCACCACTAGCCTCCATAGCATCGCCCTCATTCGCGTCGCAGGCGCCGCCGCCTCCCTTTCAATTGCGCACCTATCAACAGAATCAATCCTACCGCTTTCAGCCGCGCGGACACCACCGCACCGCCAGCAGCAGCATGTCGCAGTCCGGCGAGGATCTCCACTCGCCCACGTACTTGTCCTGGCGAAAGCTCCAGCTGAGTCGCGCCAAGCTCAAGGCCTCCAGCAAGACCTCCGCCCTGCTCTCCGGATTCGCCATGGTGAGTATTCCCAACCGAACAATTGGGGGTAGATTTATAAAAACTATTCATACATCTAAAACTAAAAAACACTCATCGATCAGTTTACTTTATTATTTAAGCTAAAATTGGTTGTTACATATATACACCCAAAACAAATCGATATGAAACGTAGATCGATTTTACATTATTTAAGATCAATTTTAATTTTGTATGTGTGCCAGGTAAATTTGACCTGGTCGAAAGGAGTATTTCATGTAAAAACGATTTACATGGCCATATCGATTTTACGGGAATATGTTTTTTTTTGTGTATTAAGGTTTTCACCAATAATAAAACTAAAGTGTGGCGTGATTGAAAAATCTAATAAAATAGATTTACGTTCTTGGTGATTGGTCTACATTATATGATGGTAATAACAGATAAAAGCTTATTGACATATTATTCTCATTTATAGAGCAAAAAGAATACATTTTTTTAGAATATCTGTTAGCTTGCTAGTTGCATTAAAGAGTTTGAAAATTATAATAATTAAAATTAACAAAGTTACTAATTAGTTCAATCAGAATACAGTCATCGTTTAAAGATCTTTGAGATATAGATTTGTATGATGAAAATGTAGGTATTTAAAATTTTATTTCGCAGAAAAGGTGATTTGGCTCAAAAACCACATTAAGTCAGACATTTAATGCACCTATTAAGATTTTTGAACATTACCCATTCATTAGGTATTTTTCGGGAACTACAATTTAATTCTTTTCTGAGTTCTACATCTATAGAATACAATTTAACTCTGCTCTTGACATTAGTTTTCTGGCCCTAGGTGTGAATAATTCTATAAAACATAAAGCCAACTTAATGTGCAGGGCCAGAAATTCTGGCAGAGAACACATAATCTTTTTATTTGGTTATACCATTTGTGAAGATCAGCATAAAATGGAAAGTGTCGCGACGAACACGGCATACTCTTCCTACGAAAAAGTATAGATAAATATAGTATTAATAAAAGGTTCCACCTGGCGACTCGTGAAACGAAATGCAATCTGTTATTGGTTCCGTTTGAATGCTTCCCTTACTCGCGGTGTCGCGTTTAAGTAATTTCAATCATGACAAGGAATAATCATGTAAATAAAATACGAACATCAATAATTAGCTGCCTTTGCTATCGTATATACCTTACCAACATAATTATTTTCGATGCCGGCAGCGACAAATTGAGGGCCAACAAAATTGTTTTGATTTTATTCCCACTATCTTTGTCTTGGTCAAACAAGTCTGTTAGCTGTTTGCTATATACATAAGTGTGTTTTTTACCCATTATTCATGGGTAGGTTAGACTATTTGGATCTTTGATCTATCAGAATAGAGGATAAACTCAAAATTGGGAATTAGTAAGGGTTTTCCCTTACTTGCATGCAAGCACATCATGATTATTTTGTTGGATTCCCAGCGTTATCAAGGTATTTAAGGTAATGACAGATTCCCACTAATTGTGTAATAATTTTACACACGTCATAATAGGAAAACATTTTATATTATATGATTAAAATAACAGATTTATATGGTATTATAATATAAAATAGCAATTTGGGCATCAATTCTGTTTAGATATAATGAGCATATCCCTGAGCATGTCCCTTTTTAATGGCCTAATACTTTCCCATTTAGAATTATGCTCTCAATTAAATTATTTAATTAAGTGAAGAGGTATTTATTAGTCTATTTTTTTGGTCCCTCATCTTGTTATGCATTCCACATGTACACCTAAAATCTAGAAGCCAGGGAGGCGGGGAATTGGAGGTGGATCAAATAAATTAGTCCATTCAGAACATATAATATAAGAGCAATTTTGCCTGGCTGCCAACTTTTCTCGCGAGAAATGGCTAATAATAATAGAGGCAGTGCCGGGGCAACGTTTCGATACTTCCCTAAATTAATGAAAAATCATTAATGACTGATTCTGACTTTACCCTTCCTTACATAGGTGGCGATGGTGGAGGTGCAACTGGATCACGACACAAGTGTGCCGCCGGGCATGCTGATAGCCTTTGCCATCTGCACCACCCTCCTGGTGGCCGTGCACATGCTGGCCCTGATGATCAGCACCTGCATCCTGCCCAACATCGAGACGGTGTGTAATCTGCACAGTATTTCCCTGGTCCACGAATCTCCGCACGAGCGCCTGCACTGGTATATTGAAACGGCGTGGGCCTTCTCCACGCTGCTGGGTCTAATACTCTTCCTGCTGGAGATAGCCATCCTGTGCTGGGTGAAGTTCTACGACCTCAGTCCGCCGGCTGCCTGGTCGGCCTGTGTGGTTCTCATCCCGGTGATGATCATCTTCATGGCCTTCGCCATTCACTTCTACCGCTCGCTGGTCTCCCACAAGTACGAGGTCACCGTTTCGGGCATTCGGGAGCTGGAGATGCTCAAGGAGCAGATGGAGCAGGATCATTTGGAGCATCACAACAACATACGAAATAATGGCATGAACTACGGCGCCTCCGGGGACATTGTCTAGCACCCGATGACATCGATCCTCTCGAGCGGATCGAACGAAAAAGACATAGCGGCTCAGGGCAAGCCTCAGATTATTTTAGTGAAACACATATTGTAAATTTGTAGTTGATGCAAATTGTGATACGCGGAGAGCAGTAGATTTCTACTATATATACGTGAACTGTATTGCGTGTGGATCGGATCGAGTGCTTTAGTTCTTTATTTTTTTATGGCTTTATGGCAATTACAAGGCACGGATATAGACAATGATGAAAGACCCAAATTAAAGCAATACTTCGGACCACCCTGTTCGATGAATATTCCTCAAAAATTAGCTCATATTTGATATATATACATATATTTATTGCGTGTATTTTAAATTGTATGCCGTACTTTTTTTTGGAAACCATCCTTGGCAGTCTTCCCTTTTATTGTTTAAGAACATTTTGGACACAACTTGATTGTCTTAGCCCTTAATTTAATGTTAGGCCAATTGTGTAAGCGAAACCGCGCTGTAATTTATATGTATAATTTATGATTAAAAGATTTTTCTATATTTGGTGTTGGAGTTTTATTTGTAAACGTGAAAGATGGGTATTTATTACAAAACAGACTTGAATAATTCGGATAAAAGAACTACAATTAATTAATTAAAGTAAAAGCTTTTGTATTTTAGAGGAAGTAAAAAATATATGTAAAATAATTGTGAAAGAAATATTTGAATATACCTTATATTTTTATCTAAATGTTTTTATATATCGATTGTGAAGAAACCAGCCCATCTTCTAACCTTACCAATGTAAGCTAAATAGCGCTATAATTTATACGACTGATTAAACGATTCCACATATACTTAACCGGAACAAACGATTTTCTATTGAGGCGATGTCTTTGGCCTCCTTAAGCTTGCGTGCCGTCGCTGGAGGAAGTCAAATGGTGGCAAGACATGCTGCTGGGGGTTGATTAGAAAAGTGACACCGCACGCACGCCGCGGGGAGAAGCCACCACATGGCACCGCCGCATGTGACGGACCTTCTCCTGGTTTCAGTCATCGAAGACATGTCGTTCCCTCCGCGTGGTTATAGTTCCGGAGTTCGCTGCCAAAGGTATACAGGTGGCAGATACCAGGGTAAATGGCTGGGTATGCAGCCTCATGGATACGGGGTGAAGCAAACTAGCAGCGGTTTGTGCTACGAGGGTCACTGGCAGTTGGGTCAGAGGCATGGCTACGGCACTCTGCGACGCAAGGAGCCCGATGGCAGCATTCAACGCATCTACGTGGGTCAGTGGCAGCAGGATAAACGAAGTGGCGAAGGCAAGCAGTTCTATGCCGATGGATCCGTGTACTTTGGTCAGTGGCTAAAGGGTCAAAGGAGTGGACAAGGAATCCTGTGGCAGCCGGATGGAGGCGTCTACGTCGGGGAGTGGCTCCTAGACAAAATGCACGGAAAGGGAGTGCTTTTTACAGGTGATTACAGTTAGAGCCCTTCGTGAATCATTCAATTTTTGTTTTATCATCAGTATGCCATGAAATTTCTGATTTGTTTAATTCAATTCTATGTGAAATAAATTGAATGTTTTTCTAATTAATTTCGAATTGAATGAATGATTGAATAATTTTTATGAATTTTTTGAATTTGCCAGATTTTTTTTGTGCTTTCTTTTGAGAACAAAAAGTGGAAAATTTTTAACAAATCAATGTTAACTGCTTAGTAAATAAAATTCAGGCAGATTTAATTACAAAATTATGGGCCTTTCTTCTTCAAAGGAAATTGTCGTTTAAATTATTTCGGAATTTATGTCATTCATTCATTCAATTCTATTAAACTCAAAATTCTAATTAATTCATTCATATAAAACAAAAAATTCAAAATAATTCATTGAATATATTCAAGCAGGGCTCTACAGTTGACAATAACTAGAATTTTAAGACGGTTCATAAACGTTTCTTAATTTTAAAGTAGAAAAATAAATAAAAATTGTATTTATAGCGAAAGGAAATCGCTATGTGGGCCAATTTGAAGGAGGCTGCAAGTCAGGATTGGGTGTTTTCTACCACGGCAACGATGGCCAGCGGATTCAGCGCGGTTTTTGGAGCGAGGACATCTGTAGAACGTCTCTGATGCCCCTGCTGCCAGGATTTAACTCAAAAGGGTTATTTTAACACTTACAAAATATGTATTTGAATAGAAAGTCTTTTTAAATAAGAATAAGAACTAAAACTAAACAGATTTGTATCTAATCAGTGCCGGTGACGTGTGCGTGTGCTAAGGGACTCCGTTTCAGGAGCCTGCTGCTCCGACACCTGTCGCCTGGGTCGCCTGGATGAAAGGGTAGCCGTCTTTGGCGCTTCCACAGGTTGGCGTATCCTCGCTCTGAGGCTCCTTGCACTCGAGGTTACCGATGGAGTGGATGGTATTTCCAAACTGTTATCCAGATTAATAACCTCACATGCTTTTTCCGTGGCTTTGGACTTTGGTTTTCCCTTAGTTTTTGAAGGGGGCTTCTTCAGGGGCAGGGAAAGCAACTCATCATCGTCGCTAATCTCGATCGCCTGACAGGCATTGAGATCCACGTGATCCGAGGGTGGAGTGCTCTCCGTTCCGCTGCCTCCGCTACTCATGCTAGCTGAACTTGGTGGTCTTAGTTTAAGTTCCTCATAAATTCGGAATCTTGGTGCTTTCTTCGCTGACTGTTTAACCTTGGAAGCTGAAGATGCTGCACTTCGGCTTTTATCCTCAGGTGAGAGATGGAAAATCAGTGCTCGTCGTAGTGTTTTGGGCCTGGGTTTCTCCTGACCCCTTGGCTTGAGCTCTATTTCAGCCGTCTTCAGCTGAGCCATAAAGTTGTACGTAAAGTTAATATCGACCGCTTGCAGTCGCGTTTTCAGGCCCAATTGAGCCGTTGATATGGCCGCCACATGCTTTTGCCTAAAGCGCAGATGGTTAAGATGATAGAGCTGCTGCACTTGCAACATGGAACCGAGAGAAGCACTTATCTCAGGTTTTTCCCGCAGCCTATTATCCGTTCTTTCGTAAAACTCATCCAACTGCTCGGTATTCCGCTGAAGAAAACAAAGACGTGCATGCAGACAGCCCATTATGAAGAACAGGCACTGAAGCTGCGAGTTCTCCCGAATGGTAGAAGGAGCATCATCTAGGGTGAGGTAGCGATCCAAGTGTTGTTGGTGATTGGGACTATTCAGCCGCCTGTTGAGCAGCTTAGGCGAGGGCACACTCATATTCTGCTTCCTGATGGGCTCCACCAACTGGAGGAGATGCATGTTGCTGGTCAGGTCAACAATTGCTGGCTCTTTGATGGCTTTTATTTCTGGAGGAGCTTCCTTGGGAGTCAGGCGTCTGATATCCAAGCAGTGCTCGATGAGTCGCAACTTTGACTGCGCCTTTTCAAAGTGTTCCATTTGTAGATTGGTCCACAACCAGGCGAGGAATACCTCGATGGTTCTTAGGGCCAAACCGGCCTGCAGGGCCAAATGGAGTGCAATGTTGGAGAAGGACAATCGTTCGCTTAATCTGTTGGCAGAGCATTCAGTGCTTTCTCTAACAAGCGTCGATAGGAGCAACTGCAAGGAGCCACCATCCAAGCTGGAGAGATTGGCGAAATTCCGCACATTGTCCAGCAGAGTGTCCAATTGTCGCAGGGGCGTTAGAACAGCCAGAGTCTTTGGCTTTCTGTGCTGATAGCCAAGTCGAAAACGCACTGTTTGCAGGGTGATCAATACAATGTCACTCTTTCCCAGTCTTTCGGGAAACTCTGCGCGAAGCTGTTCCGCTTGAAGCAGTAGAAACTGGGCAGTGGTCATGCAACCCATTCGGGCATAATAACTGGCCATGTGGCAGAAGCAGAGCAATACGGTGGTATGCTGTCGATTGAAGAACGAACCACTTTGCAGTTGAGGCCACAAATCATCCAGCAAATCCTCCGCCCACTCAACTTCCTCGTGTAGTTCAAGTTTCAGCCTGGTGCTAACTTCATTCTGGGACAGAAAATGATTCAGCGCTCGCAGAAAAGTAAATCGATCCTCCAAACAGCGGGATATTCTCAGAAGCAGAAGCCAAGCATCGTCCTCCTGCGATCGATAGCCCATATTCGAAAGAGCCATGGCGGCAGCCACAGCATCGTCAATCAAAGCCTCCCAGTCGATGGAAGTTTCCTCCATGTCCAAGGGCTCCTCATCCGCTTTGTTAAAGAAGTAGCTAAAAGACGAGATAGCTTCGCTGGCAAACTGAACCAAGCGCTGCTCTCGCTGTATGTTAATCTGCGATAAAATCGGCCTGAGTAGCAGCTCTTCGAACAGATTCTCAGCCACCTCTTTGGGGGAAACCTTGGTCTTCTGATCCTCCAGTGCGCTCAGAAGTAAACCAACATTTATGTGGCCCAGGCACAAGTGCTCCATTCGGCTGAGGGATTTCTGATGCCTTAGCTTCGATCGAACCGCCTTGCATTGCTCTGAAATAGCGGCATCATTTCGCATTTTACTGGCCATGAGTACCAGAGGGTAATCACTCATTCGGCAGCGGATCAGCGATTGCATAAGTGCGGGAGGAGGACTTCTCAAATAGTACAGCACAGCTAAGAAATCGGCATCATAGAGCTGTTTCTTTTGAGCAGCCGAAAGAGGATAGGGCAGTGGACAGGACTCGTGCCACTCGAAGACGCACTTGCTGATCTCCTTCTCCGTTTTTCCCTGATTGTGGTAATGCAAACCAATCTGTGATCTTAGTTTTACGGGATTTGTGATGGAGGCTAAATAACTGGCTTGCAGGCGACTTGCCATACTGGAATCCTTGCAATGCCCGCTGGCCTTGAAGAGACGTCGCAGTAAGCCGCTCATCTCCTGATCTGCAATCAAGGACCGCAGCTGCTGCAGAGGCTCTAGGAGTGGAAGTAGCAGGGACATCTGCTCCGGACAGGAAACCTGATCGGCTACATAAGTGAGCTGGCGCACTAGCTTGATGAGCTCCACGCTGCTGGAAGTCAGGCACTTCATGGTTTTTGCCACATCCATTGAGTATTTGACCAGTTCCTTAAGAGGTTTATGGGGATTCTAAGAGAGAGAAGAAATATACATTAGTTTTCCATGGGTATTTAATCAGATTTAACGCACCCTGTCTGCTTTTTGCTCCTGCGTTGGTTGCCAGCTTATGTAGGCATCCAAAGCGCACAGTCCGTAGGCCAGAATGCAGTGCCTTCTCACGCTTTTGCAGGCCTCATGAACGCAAGTACAGCCCAGTGAGCTCCTCGAAATATTCACCGATAAGGCACCGCAACTCTGCAGCAATTGAAAGTGCGCTGCATAGACCTCTGGACTGCCCTCGCCGTCAAACTGCTGCCAGAAGAGCTCGAAGGGTGACTGGGACTTACTGCCCCTTTGATGGATCAGCACCTGCAGCACTTGGATGGCCACCAGCAGATCCGTGAGCCACTGTTCCTTGGCATGAGCGGCTCCCTTGTGCTCGAAGAAGTTCTGAAACTTGCGCGACAAGTCAATGTAGGTGCGTTTAAAGTCTGCAGTGGCTTCCCGGACGTAGATCAGCTTGATATAGTAGTAAAGCAGCTGCAGGGCATAGCATAGATTGGTTTCCTGGCGGAATAGCTCCTTGCACATGCGCAGCAGCTGCAGCGCCAGTTGTTGGCTGGCCAGCATGTCGATTTGCACGAGGGCCAAGGTGAAGCTCAGGTACTCGGGAAATAGGTTGGCTAAATCCGAGGCAGAGCTGCCGGCCAGTAGCTTCAGCAGGGGATTGAACATCTTGGCCTGACTCTCCGAGGGCAGGAGGCTCAGGGACTTGAAAAACGTTCTGCTTCTCTTGCCAAACATTTGTTCATTTAGTTTAGTTAAGAGCGGTCCAATTTGGGTTATTTTCCGGTGGCTCATGGCCTCGAAGAGCTCTCCCAGGGCTTCTAGGGCATAACAAAGCTGATGAGTGGCCTCCAGGGGAAGCGTTTGCTTCTGCAGATGCAGGTGAATGCCATTGAAGTGGGCCAAATGGATCTCCAGGTACAGCTTGTGGTCCGAATCCTCTTGCAGGCGGCAGGGCTGGGATCTGATGAGGTTGTACAGCTTCTGGCATTCTCCTAGGGATCGCTGGGGATTATAAATAATGGATTATGTTAGGAGGATTCCAAGTTCCAATAGGTAAACCTACCTCCTGACACAAAGCATGATGAATGTACCGCAGACTGGTCAAGTGCGAGTCCCAATAGCAGTGCTTCTCGTGGGGAACCACATGTGGCAGCATTACGGCCACCAAATCCACGAAGAGATCCGCATTCTGGTGTTGATTAGCCTGCAGGGCCAGGCAAATATGGCGCAGAATATTCAGTTCGTATCGAAGTGCGTTTGGTCCATCTAACAACGTCCTGAATGAGGTCTCCACCAAGCTGAAGGCCTTCTTCACATCCGAGCGGCTGCCCTTCAGTAGATTACCTATTTCACTCGTCATTTCGTCGCTCGCAATTGACACATTTAGCTAATTTAACTAGGACGCTTCCTTTTTTGCCGCTTTGCGCCAGATTTTGAGATGCAGTGCAGCATGACCGAAGCGATAGTGGTGGAAAATACCATCAATCCTGCAAATAAATACCAATTTGGCATAAGAAATACCAAAAGTATTTAAAATACCAAAAGCGGTCAGGCTGATTCATCGATATATCGATTATTCGTTGAAATTTAAAATTTAAATACGTTACAATTAATTTTTGTTATAATAAACAATCAAGTCTTTAAATAATAATCAGACACCTTTTCAGTTCATAAAAACAAAAACATTAAAGAAAATAATGTTTATTCTGTACCTCCAATTTGAAAAGGGTTCAAAATAATTAGTAAACATTTCTTTAGTTTATTTCATAAAGGTGATTCCCCCAATAAAAGACAAATTTTTAAAATGATTTAGTTTATGTATTTCAGTTTCAATGGGCTGGTACTGACACATTTCATCTCGTTAAATAAACGCGGGTCCTGCATTAATAATAATTGGTTGCGTACTTGTTTATTAGAAGAAAAATCTTGTCTAAAATTGTGTATAAGATTTACTCGCCACATTCAATGAAAACATGCTACTGCCGTTGAATAAGTGGAAACATTTTCGGTATGTGGTAAAAAGTTGACTTAAAAGTACATAAAGGAAAACAATTTGGGATGCTCAATGTCGAGGGCATCAAGCTTAGAAAGAGAGACGTGGATAATGTTTATAAGTCGTGGGAGGTGGGTAACAATGAAAATGTGGGTAGATCGATCACCTTGCGCAGAAAGTGAATGAAGTTTGGATTTCGCTTAACTTATGCGTATTCAAAGAAGGAATGACTTAAGAGTTAGTTAAAAGATCTTAGCAGTAATTGTGTGATCGTTTTCACGCGAAACGTTGACAAAGCCGCAGTTGTACAAATAAAATATTCAACGCTGTCGGAAAGCTGTGATTTGTTGGTTGAAACTTAACAGCAAGACGCTAGATGGTTAAAAATGGTACAGGTTTGTAAATATATACTCGTTAACATAGGGCTAAGCAATTTTACAATGTGAAGCGGATTTCTTATTGCAAATCCAACTGACGAAGGTGTTGCGATTGGAACTGGAACTTGGGTTCGGATGAGGCTATAGTCATGCAATATTGGTTGGTTGATTTCTTCTCGCTTATACATATTTTTCTTTTGTTTCGCTTTGTTTGATTATTACGTTCATTTGCTCCTTCTTTTTCTGCTCAGTGTGTTTGTTGTTTTGGGTTGTTTGTCGGTCCTCTTGTTTTCTTTTTTTTTTGTCGTTTTTCATTTTCTTTAGCTTACATTTTAGAGAAACAAATTGTGGGCTTCCTAAAGGGTTAATCATCTTTTTCTATCAAAATATGATGTGTGTGGCTGTGTGTGTTTGTTTTGTGTGTGTGTGGGTGTGGTTGTATATTTAAATTTATAACGTACAAAGACGATACAGCGACAGACGAGGATTTAACCATCATGCTTTCTCTTCTTGCCCCGGGTTTGCGATTCTGCGTCTGAGGTTTGGAATACAATATTTATTAGGATATACTGATGTATTAATTATGTTTCATTCAACTCACCCCCTGCCTTTTCGCCATCCTTGCCGTCCTTGACTGATGCAGCTGATTCATTTGCATCACCATCGGCATCATCAATATCGGAGTCCTCATCCTCGTCATCCTCGCCACCTTCGCCCTCGGCGCCTTCCCAATCCGAGTTATCCTCCTCCAAATCGTCATTGTACACCTCCGATAAGGACACCTCGCCATTGTCCTCCTCGTCGCTATCATCGCTGTCGCCCTCCTCGTCGTCATCGTCACCGGAAACTGGAAAAAGCACAGGGATATTAGTTTAATACGGCTTCTACGAACAACTCGAACTTCCCTAAATCGACTTTTGAATATTTAGAAGGAATTCAGTTGGGTCTAACAATTAATTTCCATACTTTTTTGCAACATGATTTGAATTTCGAACTTCTGTTACTCGATCTTTTAGTTTAGAACCTAATAATATGGATATTTTGAATATCCAAGATTTTCCTGCAGCATTTTCGAGTTAGCGAAGTTCGACTTGAACTGAAAGAAAGTCCAGAAACGCCATGCTTACAATATGTGGCATTGGCCAGATTTAAAATGGCAAAGAACCAATAGAGCAGGATAGCGAAATTTAAGTTTGGATTGCTAGGGGGCTGTTGGGTTGCCCTTATCACAGATTGTTTTTCGGCAGCAGCAGCTGTGGATTCCCTCAGCTGCAACTCTTTGAGATACTCATCTAGCTCGTCTACTTCGTTGTCCTTCGACTGAGGAGAAGGCGGTTTGTCCTGCAAACTCTTTTTCGCCTTGACGCGCTGCTCCAAAGCCTCGAGCTCGTCTAAATCGATTTCTAAACCATTCAAACAGAAGGCATTGCGCTTATCTGCAAAGGCGACAGAAGCTAGTGTTGAAAATGGGCTAATTTTTGTGGTTACAAGAGGGCGCAAAGCATTTAAACAGACGGACAATGAGCTTAGAGTGATGGTAAAGCCAAGAGTAGGTTTTAAAAATGTTCCCTTCTAAATTCTGAGATTTTTTTGTGAGTATATGAAAGTTCTGGCGATACATACCTCCTTCTTCGTCGGAGTCGTTGCCGTTGACCTCATCGTCATCATCGCCATCAGATTGCACCTCCTCGTCGTTGCAATCAAAGCTGTAATCATAAAATAAGTTACTTTTTCAACTCTCTCCGGATGAAATCAATAAAACGTACCCATCCAGGAAGTTTAACGATGGCAGCATCTTGAAGATCTTCTCACGATAATTGTCCACCTGGGTAGCATCGTTATTAAACAGATCCAGCACAGCCAGATTTTTAAACTCCTCCAGGGGCTTCAGGGTCTCCAGATCCTTGATCTTGTTGCCGGACAAGTTCAGATATTGCAGTTTGGGGCTGGTGGTCAGATAGTTGAGGCCACTGGAAATCCGATTGTCGGACAGCTCCAGCTTCTTCAAGTTGGGCAGCTTGGGGAAACCTTTGAGTGTGGTGAGGCCCACGTTGATCAAGCTTAGCGATTCCAAGGCGGTGTATTCGTCTGTAAGGCCAACGATGCTTGTACTCCGGCAATTGTCCAGATTCAGCTCTGTGATCTAGGATTAAAAAAAATAATAATTGTTATTTATATATAATATTTAGGAAAATTACAAATTTTGATCTTTTCAAAAATATAACTAAATGTTTAGTTTATCGATACTATTTATCGTCCATCAAAATGTATTTCAAACAGCCAAGCGATATTTCAGTATATTTTATCGGAGCATTTAGGATTATTTGAGCGCCCCAGTTTGGTCACATTGGTGTAAAATTTTGACGAAAGCGAGCAGAAAAAAAAATGGAGAACAATACATACGCAAAAATCGATCAAACGCTGAGAATTTTTTTGTTGAAATGCAAATCGACATTACATGCTAAATAATCTAATTGGCGCAACAAAACGACTTGGTAAACATTTGCCGCTGCTCAATCGCCAAATTGCACATTTTTTTCGACGCAGGCGACGAGGAGAAAAAGTGCCAATTCGCGTTTATGTAACCCCAAAACATATGTGTGTGTGTGCGCCAGCGTGTGTATGTGTGCCTGTGCCTCGGCACAAAGAGGAATGCGCAAAAGAATGACGGAGCGAAACGGAATTGACAAGGGGTGGGAGAAGTGGGAGGGAGATGGCAGGAGAACAACAAGCCGGCAGTCGCAACAACAACATGTTTGACCGTGACGTATTTTAGTTGTTGCGCCTGTCTGCGAAAAGTGGGCGGGAGAAAGAGACGGGCGGGGCTGGGGCTGTTTTGTTGCCTGATAATCTACGATTGAATGTACACACATTTGCCTTTTGGAGGCTGTGCAAGTTCACTTGAGATTACCCAATTATCAATATGTCACGTCGCCACAACAAAAGAAAGAACAGCAAAACAAGAAACAAGATGGGCGCCTTCGGAGAGTCCGTCTGTCTGTCTCTGTCTAGCCGAGGAACAGTTATGTGGCTACAGACGATACTTTCTAACGTGAACTGAAAACCACAAATCGCGATGTGGGATTTATTTTTTTTGGAGAATAAGTGGAAACCGTTTGGTACAGTAAATACTTCGTAAAGTAACTTTCCTAATTTAAATAACCTATTCCAATTATTTATCAATATGATGAATATTACATTTTTACATTAAAAGAATCTTCTGAAGACTTTTCACTTCCAAAATGTTTTAAAATGAAGTGGCTTTAGAACTAGAGAATAATTTTGTTAATATAACAATATTTGTTATTTAAACATTTACTATTATCTTCTCAATAATCAAATTATTGATTAAGTTTAATATTTCTACAGAAACATTTGTAATTGAAAATTTTGAAATTATTGTTAAATTTGTCTGGGGAATTCCTTTTTTATGTTTGTGATAAAGCGATATAATCGGAATCCCCTAGGGTTCAATATTAAACTAATGGAATTTGGAAATACACAAGTACTTGACATGAAATCTGAGAACTAAAAGTAATGAATACAAAATGATGTTTCAGTATCAAAAAATGTATGAAATTCTCGCCTTTCCCTTAGGGAGTGATTACTGTATCTGAGCAAATGAGTGAGAATGAATGCACACAGCTTTTGGCTTTGACTTAGGCGCAAATGAGTGTGTATGCGTTGCTGTTTTTTTTCTTCTCGCTGCTGCGTTGTTGTTATGCGGTGGGTGCATTGTGGGTGGTTGGGCGGCTGGGTGACCGCTGATTGAGATTGAGTAGGCTGGCCGGCCAGAGCGCATGTTTATTAATCAGAAACAGCGGCTTTGTCTTTTCGCCTGCACTTCTTTTGCACTTACAGTGGGCGGAGGGAAAGGGATGGCCAGAGATGGATGTGGATGGCGTGCAGGTAAACATGTTAGAGCAAGCGGGAGGGGGAGCATAAAAGTATTATGACTGCGCAGTCAATATTTGTATGTAACGTAGCATGTATGTAAGTACATATGCTATGTGTCGATTATTTTGTGCATAAGTCGTCTTCACGTATGCATGTGTATCTTTTGTGCGTTGTACGCGTGTGTTTGTG